ACCACGTGTCGCTGCGTGTACTCACCTTTTCCTTTCCGCGGCGGTAATCTTGCGATCCGGTTCGATTCGAGAATAGCCCGTCTGGCCGCGCGTGCTGTGGACTCCGCCGGTTGGACGACACGGGGAAAGTCGCACGGCGTTTGTACGTATCTTCGTACGTTCGTAGGTGCTTTATTATAGGATGGGATTTATTCGCTTTTTAGCGAGAGAGAGAGAGAGAGACAGAGAGAGTGTGTGTGTGTGTGTGTGTAAGACCAAGTCACTTTCGTCGTTATAAATAAATAGGACGCAACAATAATTTATTCCCCGTTATCGTACATCAGTATGGGCTGGACTAATACATCCGCCTAAAATGAGGTATCGTGATGTGTCGCAAAAGAATGGAGAAGAAAAGAAGAAAATGCGCGCAGCGCCGCGCGAGTGTGTGTTCGATCATGAGCGCACTTGATGAACAGAACAATGTTTCATCGATGAGATATCAACACGACGACATTTTTTGCATCGCAGAAAAATCAAGTTTCTTTTTTGCGAGGGACATCGGTCTGTTCGGGAAATACGCTCGTGTATGTGTGTGTGTGTGTGTGTGCGTGTGTGTGCGTTGCCGCGACGTATCCCTGTCTGAATGGATGTGTGTTTGTCTGTGTATGTGTGTGTAATTTATTTACGTATGCATATATAGATACATATATATATAAATATATATTTTTATACATGCACAAATAATATCCTTCCGCAAATGTATATATATATACAGGACGAACGTCGGGCGCGACGCTTGATTGCACTTTCAAGCGCGGCGAGTCCTCTCGCATAAATATCATCCATATCGCAGATTACATTTCAACTATTATCCATATATTGGGCGCGGCACACGAGATCGCGCGATGAGATTCCTCGATATTCTCTATGCACGTACGATTAGATTAGATTCGCCGGAACGTACCGTTATTGGCCTCCCGTGGGATACTTCTAACCGCATACTTGCCCTAATCGAATTATAATAAATTAAAGCCGCGAGGAAGAATACTATATACTAGTCATGTTAATTCTTTGGGACAGAGTTGTCCGGAGTTTCTCTCTCGGGCTCGCGCAGAAGAAACAAGCAGCGGATTACAAATTAAATTCAATAATACTCCCTTGTTCGTTCGAATGTTCCACACTTTACAATACTCAGCATCTCGTGTCGAATGATCGTCATAGTAAGGTGAATTAAATCGATCTACCAGAGAGAAAAATATAAATTACAAAACGCAACTGCTCGCTTCTTTCTCCGAGGGGACGACTCGTGCACAAATTAAATTCCGCCGCTACGCATATATAAATATCATGCTTAACATAATTCAATCACAAGAAAAAGTGAACAGAGTGTGACGTGGTCGAGAGGCCAATAACCGTATTTCTGCTTGCTCTCCTTGACAACCGCATCATTATGCTCGTATTATATTCAAACATTCGTCTTCGCCTGCAATTTGTTATCGTTCAATAACTCGGGACTGTCCCCGAGCTACTTCCGCACTACGAGTCGTGTCGTCGATAATCCGCCGCTAACGTGACTCACAAGTTTTACGTTGCCCGTGACTTAAGCCCGTGTCACGCTACGGATTGAAGATCAAGGATTGCGGATTGAAGATTAGATTTCGACAAATCAACGAACTTCGGTTTTCATTCGCTTTGTTCCGATTGGTCAAATTTCAATCTTCAATCCGCAATCCTTGATTTTCAATCCGTAGTGTGACACGAGCTTTACGTTCCTCGGAGGAGGAAAGAGACACACGCGATTCGACTGCTTAACGCTACGTGAGGGAACGAGCAAATAAATCTAGCACGGTATTCGATTACAATGCCGACAGCTGACGAGGAACGGAAAACAGAGATCGAAGCGCGAGTGCGAGGAGGAATGTTTTCAAAGCGAGTGTTCTCGCGACGGTCGCACAAATATACAAAATGCAGATTGCTTAAGGGGACTGCAGGGTCAGATCACTGAAAAATTGTACTTGTTTTTTGATAATATTTTGTGACGAACTGAATAAATGTGCAAGAATGAAAATTTTTGATATATTTATATAACATATGAAGAGTAGAAAAATTTTGTTTATTAACGAATATTCATATAAATATACGTCCACTTAAATATTAAATGCGTTCCTCTCGAAATTTTATTGTTCAACTTTTTGCAGTGATTTCTCCAAAACTGAGCTTCGATTTGAAATTTTAAAGCAATAATATTTGTTCATCTGGCTCTCAGGTAAACCATGGACAACTCCGTTAAAATATTTCATTTCTTATTTTATTATTAATTTTTTATTTTATATTTATTATTATTATATATATATATTATTATTAATATATATATATATATATATATATTATTAATTTATATTAATTTTTTTATTGTAAAAGAACTGAAAAATTTGAACTTTTTTTTTAATAATAGCTGCCATTTTGTTAATTTTGTTCGGTTTTTTTTTCTAGTGCTTCACCGGATAATGATAAGCCTCCTTAAGATTTCTAGCTAAAATTCACTCTGATCGGACCACCGAGAGCCGAGATATTACTACAAAAACAACTTGAAACAAAAAAGGAGAGTATATTTATCGTATAGCTATATATATCGTATATTTATATGAGTATTTGTTAATAAACAAAATTTTTCTACTCTTCACATGTTGTATAAATATACCTAAAATTTTCATTCTTGCATATTTATTCAGTTCGTCATAGGATATTATCAAAAACAAGCACGATTTTTCAGCAATCTGATCCTCCTTAATATTTCGCTATCGCGCGCTACGTTGTTTGACCGAATCGCAAGACGACATCGGAAGTTTGACGGATTTCCGCCTTGAACAAGCCAAATATCGAGATTCGGAAACCGCGATCATCTGCCGAAACCATTCCGCTTGCTCCCGAGAAAATTGCCTCACTTACTAAATTCCGATACACATATTTCTTCCCCCGATGACGACGCGTGTCCTTTGGTTGTTCTTACCTCTAACGAGGATGACGCGGTCGTCGCGGCGAAATGGAGCCTCGACGGCGGCGGAAACTTGTGCCTGTCGCGACAATTAGCACCCGGCAATTGCGGCAAGTTTCGCGTTCCACGGTCGCACCTCCGGGACCTTCGCTCGCAATCTCCGCGCGCGTGTCCTCGCGGAAAATGCATCCATCGGGCGGCTTACCTGGCCCGCGATCGAGACGTGCTGCGCTCGGTGAAACGATCCGCGTAAGTAAAACACCGCTGCTCGCACAAATAATTACGGTAGGCTAAAAAAGGGGGAAGATAAGAGAGGGAATGGGGAGGGGGGGAGGGAGGGATAGATTTGGACGTGGTATCGTCGGGATCTGCTGAGAGAGACAGACGGCAGCGTCGAGAGCACGCAATCTGCGCGAGTGGACCTCCGGAGGTGATGCTCGTTGCGTGTTCCTCGGCCGCCGCGAAGGAATATCGCGGTTATGTTACGTGTGTACGTGTATGGCAGTATGCGGTAGCGGGCGAAATAAATAACTTAAAAGTAATAAATAACCTGACGGTCGCCGTGGTCGCCACCGAGGGAGCAGATCGAGGCGATCGACTCGAGGAACGTCCTCTTTTGGTTCTTCCTCTCAGCCGAGAGAACGAGGATCCTCGTCGGGCTCTCGAGAGCTCGTGATCGCGTCGATCCTCGTGTCTGCGTCGTGGCGGGGGATTAGGCGCGACGTACTTTCCGAAGACATCCTCAGAGTCACTTCGATCGTCGAAATCGTGTGAGATGCTGCAATTCGTCCTAGATCGAGTACTCGTAATTTACGACGCAGAGTCGAGCCTCGAAGAAACGACCATTTTCCGGGAGAGAAAATCTCACGGCAGGGATAACGGCGATTGGGAGGAAAATGCTTCTTCTCGAGCGATTGATAATCATGACAATGATCGATTTCCAAGTGAAGAAACTACGATTTTTCTCTCGGCGTGACTTGCAGCGGTAACTTGCGAAGGAACATTTTCGGGCGCACGCTCGCGCTTATTCCTACGTTTTGGACTTACTTTCGCAATCCTAATGCCTTTTTCGCACTAACTCCAGAGATTTCTAAATGCACCAACCGCCCGTCAGGTCGTTTCTGTGTCGCGATCTCCCTCTTTCTCTCCCTCTCCCTCTCTCTTTTCGTTCTTTTTTCTCTTTGCTTTTTTTTTACAATTATCCCCGTGTGTGTTCGCTTGTCTCTACAGGTGGGTCTGAAAGGGAGCAAATAAAAAGAGCAGGATAAGAAACTCGGTAAAAAGCAAAGCAAAAAAAAAGTGCGTCGTGATGCATCGCGAGTTTAATGAGAACGTAATGAGCACGAGGTGCGTCGACGTAGCGAGCTTCGACGAGACTTCAGCGCAAAAGGGAGGGCTTTCTTCCGCATAAAATATCGTGCCTCCCTCCCCATGACGACGATCTAACGTCAGGAAGCACGCGATTACGGTGAAAGGTTGCGACGATACCGTATACAACGCGTAATACGGCCAGGCACATTACACAGATCAGTCGGCGACGATAACAGCATAATAATCGTAAGAATAATAATAATTGCTTTATTTAAATAATATCAGTAATAATATATATATATATATATATATATGTGTATATATATGTATATATATATGTATATTGCCGAACATCTTGGTTAAATGACAATTCATTCGTGACAACATAATTGAACGATCGCTCCGTTACCGAAATCAATTAACATTATTATGTGGTAGTTCACGGCAGGTTGGGGGGAGGGCAGATAGAGATGGACTAGGCATAATAGAGCCGGTCGACGATAACGTTCCTCCTAACAAACATCGACGAATCGAGGGTTGTAGTTTAACAATGAAGAGAGGGAAGACAGCTTTCTGAATATCTCGCTTATTAAGTCTAAACGCGCAGAGTTAAGCTTTTTAAATGTCGGCGCAGCTAGTCCACCACTATCGATTGCCATACGCGTGTGTACATGTGTGTGTGTGTGTGTGTGTGTGTGTACATGTGTGTGTTGCGTGTGATTTCCCAACACAACTTCCATCCCCAATTTTCCACATATATATAACACATACTACATATATGTATAATTTCTTCGGGATATTCAAGAATCGTGATTCGGTTGCCAATGGACCGATAAATCCGGGAGGGAAGGCGAGTAATAAGGAAGGAGGAGTAATAAGAAAGGAGGGAAGAAATAGCAAATATGCGAAAATTTTAAGGAAACGCAACCTCTGCGCGATACCTTACAGACCGCGAGAAGAAACTCAGGTATACAAATCGTTCTATACAGGGGTGTTTCAAAAAGGGTGGGCTGACTATATTCTTCTCATCGAGACACACAGGAAGTAAACACAGCGCCTAAAATTTGGTCGAAAAGCTGATGTCGAGTCGAGACTAAAAGAATCGAGATAAATAATTGAAGAACTGAGCGTTTGTAGGAACCTTTTTGCCAGTCTTGCATAAGCAGAATGTAACTACGTATAGGCAGCCCGCCCTTTTTGAAACACCCTGTATATCACACAGTGCGCCGCTTCCCCTCGCGATGCGATAACGCGCACATTCACCGGCTGCTCCGTAAACGATTCGATTTCGATCGCGAGCGATCAACGAAAGCCACTGAAAATCGCTACGAGAATATCACCTATCGCCGCGTTATGATTAATCGTTAAGTACCATCGTATGAATTAGAGATCCAAGCACACCCACAGACCTACCTCGATATTAGTGATTGGAAAGAAGAGACTGATGGCACTTGCCGATTAATCAACTGATTTGGCGCGATTGACGGAAAGCTCTCTCGTATGTACAATTCAATTCGGGCGGGAACGAACGATCATTTGCACGGATTACCGATCACCGATTGGCGGGCCAGATTCGGGTACGGAATAAAAAAGAAAAAGATTCTCTCATCGAGGTGACTCGACTACCGAACGAGAAACGAAATGAGGAAGCTGGAAGAGATCCGCGGATCGTCACAGGCACACGCGCTCACGTAGAATTGTTTACCTTGCCGGACTCTTGGCACATTCGCACGATCGATGTAAAAGAGAGGAGAAAAGTATGCCGGAACACGCTGAGACTCTCAGCAATTATCGTTCCTTCATTTCCGACGGAAAAGAGCACGGGGGATGGAAATAACGTCGAACGCGACGTCGATTCGTTCGTAATACTGACTATCTCGTTTATTTCGTGTGTTTCTCTTGTTTTTATATTTCTTCAGGATCACATTTATACGAAACATGTCGACACTGAACGGGAGAATCGTGAGAATCTCTTAAGTACACCGATCTCTTCCCGGTTTGATCCTCGCGATTCTGAATCCTACTTGGCCGAGATTACAAATGCGTCTTAATCTCACTGTCATCCTCGCAGCTAAATGGACGATAAATAAGGAATCATCGTAAACTCATCGGTCATACGTACGTTACTCGAAGGACCATCGCGTACCTTCGTACTACATTATCGCGTCATTACCCAAGTCGAAATTTCGCATATTCTGCATTAATCCCGTGAAGTGTCGTCTCTAACTCGAGGGACCAACGGACAGTCTCGAGCTGTGACATTGCACAGGCATTGTTCGGCGTGCTGTAAAAAAACGCGGCTCATTTACTGCTGTTTTCCTCGTGCGAGACGCTTGAAAATACCCGTGGGAGCTTTCAATTCGGTTCAACTCGGACATTCGGTATAATAATCTTTTTTCATCTTCTAGAAGCAAAATTAAGGCGTCGCAGCGAATTGAAAAAGTGTTGCGATTGTGTTGTGCTTTCCCGGCATTATTTAACTTTTTATGGCGCCTCGATGGTGTTGTGTGTACCTTTTCGCGGTCGGGTCATTGTGACCCGAGCCGGCGAGCGGCGACGATCGACGACGATGGTGGGGGGACGTTTTGCCCTTCCTGCCTGATTGTTTTGGTACTGTCGGGCGCCGTGTACTCTCGCGTGGCACTTATTACGTCTCGAGCCGACCGGTGAGAAGGACATATCGCGACGTGTGTGCTTCTCGGCTACGACTCGTGGACAGTCCCATCGGGCTCGCTCGTCGGCATCGCCTTAATTAACACGCGCTACTCCGACCGAATCGCCGTATCCGTCGCGAGTGTCAGTGCCACGAGGAAGTGTCTGGAGCAACCAAGGGCCAGGATGAGGGATCGAGAAATCAGAACCGAGGACGATGCGGACACCTAGACGTGCACAACGGCGCATCACGTGTATCCCCAGGTATGCCAAATCCGCCTTTGTTATACGGAATGTTCCCGGTTTTGACGAACTTCCCGTCGAGAATAACGAGACACCCGAGTCGAAATGCAGGCCGATATTCATAATTGCGATCGGGTCAACGCAAATTCAGAGCGTTTAATTGGCAGAGCGGCTATTGATTGTAAATTTATATTTATGGTTTATTATTCAGGCGTTTGAGTTGACATTTTTCTAAATAAAATAATGACAATTTGACGTGATTGATAATTAAGAAGGAGGATTCGTAAAGCCGTAATTCATAAAATCATAATTTATAATATTATATTTATGACATAATTTATAATATATATTTATAAATATTTGGGAATATGACAAATTATGAATACCGGCCTCTCCGAACGTTAGAGCGTAAGACTCGCGATTGTTGATTTACGTCTTTGATAATATGTTGTGTACCCTGTCCTCCATCACCATTTTTTTTCACTTCTGTTTATCCTTGTCACTGAACCCAAATGAAAAGTTCCCATTGACATGTATCATTGTCGGGCATACTACTATCCTCGAAAGAAGAAGAGGATTCCTTCCTTTTCATCACCTGGAATCCCCAAATCCCAAAACATCCAACGCCCATAAGAAAGAAAAGAATTATAAGAAAATAAAAGTTGTTGTTTGTTTATTTTACCTTCCAACTATTAATCTTTGAATGATTAGGTTATTTAATATTTGTTTATCGCACATATTCTATCCGCAGTCGAGTGTGTTACATTATTAATATATTGCTCGTCGAATGTAAGAAACGATTAAACATGCAGGTAGAAAATCGAGATAACCGAATATTAAGTAATTCCTACATCAATCTTCGTTGCACGCGAGGAAAACAGCAGCGAACGAACATTTTCAATATCCAGGGGAGATAATACATAACGTTATATCTCGAGATTCTTCAAGTTCGACGCAACTTGCAGGAGCGATGGGGAAACAGAATTTCGACTCGGGTATATTAAACAATACACATATATCGATCGACATACTTTGTCGATCGCATTCCGCGCTGAAAAAAATTTTCGCGAAGGCACCACCTCGCGACAAGATTATCAATTGCAACATACATCGTGATTTTCCGCGACATACGCAATTTCGACGTAACTCGACCACATCTCAGATCTCTAAAGTTCTCGACTCGCTCGATTCGCCGCCGCGCAGGCAATCTCGGGACACCTTTCGGACGAGTAAAAAATTATACGTGTATAAACAATGATCCTAATAGTATCTACGTCGGTCCTGACTGACGGGACCCTGCGTGCGTCATGGTGCTCGGCGTCGAACGTTTAATGCCCTTTGCATGCTCCTCATGATCGCGACGTGATTCGTGCCACCGCGCTTCAGGCTCGTCCTGATCTGACGGTAAAACGAAAACGACGTGCTTTGCTCCAATTCGTGCTGCCCGTCTTGGCTGCTTCGTTTCTGAATCATTCGGACACAGAAAGACACGTTGTAGAGACCACTTGTCATTCATATTTTTACATCCGTCTTTACGTCGCGTTGTCGCGAATTCTCGTTTGAAGTCAAGCATCGCGTGTGAATATCTTTCCGATTTAAAAGAATCTATGAAATTTAGAAATTTAAGCATTCAAGAATTTTCTCACTCTGAGAATCATTTTTCTGTCGGTTCGAGGACTACGACCTGTAGACCCCGACTAGATGTACGAATGAATCTCAACTCCTTGACTGGCGAAAACACAATACTGTGTCTTGATATTTCTGGCAGTTCACCATTTCTAAAAATTGCATACTCGAAATTGGATTTTCGCTCAATCCGATGAACTTCAACATTTAAAATTTATGATAGAGAATGCAATACAGCCGACTGAAAATTAAGAAATATAAAAGCTTTACAAGAACTTTGAAATGTTCTATTTTGGAGTTTTTGAGGTTGCTCTCTTTAAAATTTTAAAAATGAATATTTGAAATGGCAAGTCTTCAAACTATTATAGACGACCAAAATGAAACGTTATCCATATATTATATAACTTATCATTATAAATTATATTTATTTCAGTATTTTGTTACTTTATAGATTTTATATAAAAATTTTATACATTTTCGCTACTTGATTTTTTCATAACACATGTCCAATTTTATTTCGATGAAATGAAATTGTTTTTTGTCATAATATTAGATCCATTATTTTAAATTTGAAAAATTGTATCTTTACATCCGTAAACAGTGACCTCGGTAACTTCTTAGACACAAACTTTTATCGACATTGCTTAAATTTTGACAATCGATTTTCTGCGAGCTTGGACACTTTTACGATCGCAAAATAATAACGGCGGAATTTACATCAAGTAAACCGGCAGACAAGATTTATACTTTACGATTTTTTACCTGTCATTGCTAATGACAGGTAAAAATATCAAACATATATTACAACGATGAAAGCGAAGCGTTTACCCGCAGAGGGTGCACCTTTGTAACCTTCATAAATTACACCGAGTCGATAACGCGCGAATGTAGCGAGGAAGAGCGAATGCAACGAGAACGTAAAATATTGCACGCGTAAAATACCAACTAGCGACACACACGCGTTCGATGAATTTCATCGATGAAAATTATGCAACGGCGAAGTAGGGTAAAAAACAGTCGAAAAATCGTAACCCCGGCGAAGCACATTAACCGCGCTCGATGTGAGACGCGATGTGTCTCGACGGAAAATATATTAAAAACATAGAAAAGACAGATATTATTTTCACCAGTGGCAACCAACGTTGCGCTGATCTTTTGCGCAAGCACACACGACACACACAGGGTAACAATTAGCCGTCGTGACACTCGTCGTCACACGGTGCTTTGGAAGCGGGGAGAGGGAAAAAGTTCGATGTTCATCGAGAGGGGAGACGTGCAGACAAAACTTATAAACAACACACTATAACCGCTAGAAATCACATGAAAAGATCAGAAAGAAAAGAAACGAGGGAACTGCAGAGTTACACAAGCGACTCCTACCGTTCCTTTTCTTCTTCTGCTCCTGCGGAGAGATGGACACACATTGTGTTAGGACAATCTCGTTATTTTATTTTATTTAAGCAACACACCGCAGCATATCTTTCGTCTCGTCTCGAGCGCACTCTAACTTTCTCTCTCCCCATCTCGTTCACCCTCAAGACGACTTTAACCCTCCCTGAATTTTTTGTCGCGCGAATCGATCGAGCTTGTTCAATACAATGCGCTCAACACAACTGCTCGACTCCGAGACATTACAGATCATTATTACGCGAGATGCCCCGGGGATATGTTAAAAAAATATCACACTTTCGAAGTCGCTAACGCTGTGGAGTACATTCTCGCGGGATCGGAATCCTAACGATTACGATTAATAATAGTAATAGTAATAGTAGTGGTGGTAGTAGTAGTAGTAGTAGTAATAGTAGTGATAATAGTAGAGCGGTACACCCGCGCGAAGGGGGGCACCGAGGTTTTAACAAAGCTACTTGTGTTACGAAGCTATTCTCTCTCGGCAGTAAAATCTGCATCCACGGTAAAAACTTTGATAGCCGATCGTGGACTTTTTTTCTCTCTATCCTTTTTCTTTTCTCTCTCTCTCTCTCTCTCTCTCTCTCTCTCTCTCGATCTAGTCCGTAAAAATATCATCTGCGGCATTATCACCGTCAAAGCTACGAAGCAAAGTCTCTCTCTCTCTCTCTCTCTCTCTCTCGCGTCCGCGATGCGTCGAGAGAAAAATGAACACGATCCGCCCGGACGCGTCTTCGGTTTATTCTTAACAACGCGATAACGTCCCGCGTGAAGACGCGAGACATCGCTCGACGCTCTCTGAAACGAGGGAAACGTAAAGCATCCGATACCAAAAAAGCATCGAGACGGCCGAGTCGTTCGCGAGCAGACCGTTACCGAGATGCGGCGAGATTTTACCGCCAATTTCTAGACATCACACACCGACTGTCAGAAGCGTTTTTTTTTTTTTCGTCATGATATAATAATAATCATATGGTATGGTTGAACAACATTTTGGCCTTCTTCAGAACGTTCGCGATAATAACTCTCTCTCACGTACTAATTTATAGCAACGCGATTACACATCTGGATGCTCTGCCATTACGGAGTATTGTACGGCACTGTGAGTGTCCACCTTGCCTCGTCGCGTCGTACCATGTATAATACAGCACTGGCAAGGCGACATTTTTTCTTCGAACATCGTCCCGCGATCCTCCGATGAAGCCTCGGATGTCCGGTCGCGCGAACGCGTCCCAAAGCGAGCAGATTTGCCGTCCGCGACGGCAAATCTGTCGAGTATCCTCGGTTTTTAACCGCGCCCCGTTTCGGCGAAACGCCCGTCATCATCGCTTGCCCAGCGAATCTTTCTATACTTTCGTCATATTTTAGCATAATCTCGCGTTCCCCTTGCTTTGCATAATTCGTCGACCTGTGGACATTATCTCCTTCCGCGTGTCAAAGTGAAGTCGCGCCGTGAAAAGTTAATCGTCCGCTGAAAATTGAGTTTCCAGATTTGAAAATTAAAACATCCAGACAGATCTCGAAAAGAAAAAGCACTGCAAATGTAGTTGTATGGAGAAAAAAATTTGTTTTTAATTTTAATATTAGTTGTTTTTAATATTAGTGAGTAAAGAATAGTCTCAATTTAGATATTTTTGATACTGGCCGGACAGCTGGGTATTGACGATAAAAGCTGTGAACTGTCCAGCTGAGGTCTGAACAGTGGCAAAGTGTGGGAAAAGTACGCGCTTCTCTCTCTCTATCTATCTCTCTCTCTCTCTCTCTCTCTTTCTCTCTCTCCATTTTTTCTTCTGTTATTCAAACAGCTCAGGAACGATCCGAAGTTCATCGGAATTTGCGAGGAACGGTTCGAGACGTTCGACCATTGCGGGAACACGCACGTCGTATTTATAATATGTATACACGGTACACACGCGCGTCGCGCGCGTGTGTGTACATAATTGCGTATGTATATAGGTACATACATACAGAGACAGACAGAACGTGAGACACATATAGATGTACAAGTACATATGACACACTAACTATGTATATATGTATATATCGCAATTGAAAAGAAATCGCGGGCCCTCTCCTAGCCGAACTATGCGCAAGCAATATATACTTTATTTACAGCCGCCTTTTTACCTGCGGCGTCGCCGTGTAATCAGGTCGCGAATACGGCGACACATGTCCCGTACTTTGCACGGCTCTCATTACGCCGTTCGCTCGTTCACGCGTGCGTGTGAAACTTACGAGCGAAATCGGTTTATCGACGGCGATGACTCGATTAGGAAAAGACGCATGAATTATGTGCGAGCGGTAGATACGCGCGAAAACGCTCGCGAAGTGGACAGAAAATGCCATTTCTCGCTCGCAACCCCCTGACAAGTGAATGCTCATCGCTGATTTCCCTTCGGTCTCGCGATTGTCGATTTTTTTCATAAATTTAACATTCTTTTTTCGCTTCGACTCAGTGTTGGGTATTAAAAATATTCCTTTTTTCGGGATATGCTTCCGTCTTTGCGTGGTTACGAAGCATTCGACGAAGAATTCGTTCTTTGATCGGTGAAAATGCAATACCGCGGTTCTGTAGTGTTTTGGTAGTTTAAGATCTTTAAAATTGGGTAATTGAGAGTTTTTGGGGTCGCCCTGATCAATGGCGAATTCCCAAACCGAGACAGATGACCAAAATGAAGTTATCCATATATTATATAAAATTCTCATCATTATAAATTATATTTATTTCAGTATTCCATTATACTTGTAGATTTTATACAAAAATTGTATTGTTTAATTTCTTTCATAACAAATCCAAGTCCAATTTTATTCGTAAACGGAGGCATTTAAAAATTCCTAGATACAAGATATCAATGACATCGCTTAATTCATGAAGATCCATTTCTTGCAAGCTTGAGCATTTGTGCGAAATTTAATTTGCCGGTAGTTTCAAGGTAATGAAAGAGACGCCGCGAAAACATTGAAATACAGCTGAGGGAGGAGCATCAGGTAAAGTTACTTTTTCGACCCCAAACTCCCGATGCCGCGTTAAATGCACGGCGAAATTCCTCGGCGAAGTTAGTCGGAAGTAAAACACACTTCTCCTCGCGACCGCAGATTTCTCTCGTATCGATCGGGAGGGGAAAGAATTACAATCGCGCTGTTATCAGTCTTCTTCGAAGCTAAGAGAGAAAGCGACTTTTCTTCTCGCACTGAACACTTTTACGTTAGAAAAATGGCACCTCACACACTTCCCGAGCAATGTCGAAAGCGTTATCGAGTACTGTAGGCCGACGATTATCACGTTCTTGTTAAATATGTAACTATATAATGATATTGACTCTCCTGTGCAGCCAGGAAGATTTAAAGATGCCCATATGTCGAAGGTGTTGCCGCGACGTTGCGGACAACACGCTCGAGTGAGATAATCGACCCATGCTCCCACGTGTGTGTATGTGTTTGTGTTTATGTGTGTACACGTTCGATAATGAATTAACACGCGGAGTCGCGGATCGAGACGAACGTCTCTCTCTCTCTCTCTCTCTCGGTAAATTGCCGGCAATCGCGGAAAATCGCGTTAAGTACAAACGTTTCACCGCGAATGAAACGCGCGCGTCGTCAGCGCGCAGCGATCGACATTGTTATTGCGATCTCGATCCAAGGCGAATAACACACGCGCGTATTCGTCTTGATCCTCGATAAAGCTGTTCGTCGCTCACCACCCTCCGCCCGTTAACCCTTAAGTAGTCATGCGATCAAGTGGCCGGAGAACCGAATGTGTGCGCGATCGCGACCGCGATGGCGGACCGCAGTATCTTACAACGGAGAATAGCTCGCAAAAGAAGAGCAGAGCGGAGTAAACAAGCAAACATTCGACGATAGAAACTGAGCTGCCGCGTGGCGATCGGCTAAATAATCGCGTAATTATAGAGTATAAACGAAAAGCGGGAAGTGTCTCAAGAGACGAGATGAGAGATTTCGGAGATTACAATGACGGCGAAGAACAACGCGAATTCGCATCCGACGAGAATCGAAGCGTCGCCCGCGCGCGGGCTTTAGCAATTCGCAGCGTTTTCTGCACCCACACCACTATTGGTGACAAAGACACGCAAAGCAAAACCAGCGTTCTGTGAAGCGTCTGTTAGAAGCGTACGACCCGCGACCAATTAAGGGTTAATCCACACACACAAACACACGCATACGCGCATTTGAGTAACATCTGTAATCACATTCTACTTCTCTATCGCACTCATTTACATTCACTCGCTCGTACGTTCTCATTCTCTCCCATTCTCTCTCTCTCTCTCTCTCTCTCTCTCTCGCACGCGTGCTCTCGGAGACTCGGCTACGACGGTGCAGCAGATCATCACCCACGTTGCACGTTGCGCACGAGGTGACGGAGATTAGTGTGCGGAAGGACTGAGAGTCGTGCAATTTCTCACTCGCGCTGCAGTATCTCCTGATTCAGGGGAAATAGACAAAGCGTTCAGACAGTCTGACTCTCTCGCATGGAGCGTTCCAAAGCGGCCGTTCGTTTCTGTCAGAATGAATTGCATCAGCTAAGACAAGTCCGCACTCTCACGAGTAAACCTCGGGGAACGTCAGGCGCCGATTTGTTTCCAATCTTTTATAGTTATCTTTTATATCAAAATATGAAGGAATCTGTTGTCATGTTTTAGCTTAAATATAATTTTCTCAATTTTCTCGAAATTTTTCGAGTTTTGCACAAGTACACTATTTTATACATATTTAAAACAATACTTCTTAAAAATATATATATATATCTGATTTGTTGAAACTTGCACACACATGTCGCCAATTATGAATCAGAAGCATTTTGTAAAATTCAAAATGGCGGATCTAATATGGCTTACGTCATTGAACGTCGTTGAAAGTGTTCAGTTTTACGCTACATTCGTTGGGTAATCTTTCGGCTCGCTCACATCCAGCAAACAAGCTCATTTTAACGTCAAACTCCGGTGAAAAATGAATAAGAAATGAACAAAAAAAAAAAGAATGAACAAAAAATTTCAGAAACTTCGAAAAGATTAATTTAACCTAAAAGTGATAACAGATTTCTCTATATTTTGAATGTTTTCTTTAATTTGATATTTTTCTTTAAAAATAACTATAAAAAATTGGAAACAAATCGGCGTCTGACGTTCCCCGAGGTTTACTTGTCAGCAGCACGGAGCGAGCGATTTCGCTCGCAAGCTCTTGCTCTCCCTCCCTCCATCCCTCCCTTCCTGCCTCTCTCTCTCTCTCTCTCTCTCTCTCTCTCTCTCTCTCTCTCTCTCTCTCTCTCTCTTTCTCTCTCTCCTTCGTAATTTGCCACCTTTTCTCGGAATCAATAAGAGGCTTTGCAAACGCTGATCTGACATATCGTAGACGATCACGCGGGTTCGAAGCAACACGTGTTGCTTCCCCGACCACTCGACCTCCGCGATGAGACGTCGACCTTTCCCCCCGTTGGCAGAATATCACGACAGGTCAGAATTCGCGACTTCCTCGAGCGCCCGTCGACCGCTCCGATATATCGCGCGCCGCGATGCCTGAGACGGAAGACCGCTCGCGAGGCGGCGTGAATCGCGCTGACGCGCGCGCATATTTTCGCGTTTCGTCAGTCTCGTCGGCCTTACGACAAGAGACCGTCTGTGTTTACCTTGCCGTAAAAAAAAGCCCGGCCGAGCTTTCCGCGCGAGCGCGAAAACATCTCAGGAACGTATCGACAGTTTTCAAGCGTCGTTTCCGCGCGACCGCCATTCGACTTCGCAACGCGAATCATTTTTTCTCTCGTACCTCGACTTGGGACGCTCCATGCGGATCGCGAGCACTCATCGACGATTTCCTCAGCGGACCTCCCGAAAGTCCAGAGGTACTCGCGGAGGAAGAAGGGCAGGATATGGCAGACGCCGCGAGACTCTTCGCAAAGCAGCCGGCTTCGCCGTCTTCGGCAACGTTAATTCACAATCACGAGGGGGGGGGGGAGGCGGACGGGACACACGCTTTGAAACAGTCCGATCAATCGGCCACTGACGACGACGACGACGACGAACTTACCATCTCGTGTAAATCGTCTGTTCACGGAGACGTACAGCCCCGGCGAGCGATCGTCGTGATGATATCCGCGATGATGATGAGCTTTTGCAATAGTTCGGTGATTGTGCGCGATCGTCAACTCGGCTGCGATTTTCGATTGCGGAAGCAAGCGTGCGCGAATGCGCGCGGGAGTGACCGCGAACATCGCGAATATCTCGGAGTCGAGATTCAAGGACGAGATCCGCGGCGAAGGAAAGGATATCAGAACGACCGTCCGTTCGCCTCGGCCGTACACCACCGCCTTCTCCCTCGAGTGCCCGATCGGTCAGTGAAGCAAGTGAGGACTTACCATCTCGGTGGTGAGACTGGCTAACGCCTCCTCCACAGTGGCCGCGATCCTCCCGCCGTCGTCCTGCCGCTGATTACCCTTGATCGGCGTGGTCGGGCAACCTAGAATTACCGTTAATCGTCATGGTGCGAAAGGAGACGCCGTTCGACCTCGTGGAGAGAGACCGGCTGGCGGAAGGCGAGCGAGGCGAGAGAAGAGGTCCAGCCCGAGAGCGACAGTGCGGTCTCCGAATGAGCTCTCGCGATCGCTGTTGCCGGGCCTGAGCTCGAGGAATTCCGCGAGATTGAGAAATCCCCGGGCGGCTGTCCGCGACGCGACGCGACGCGACCCGACCCGAAATCCAAAGTCGCGCGCGCTCGTTGCGCAAATCGGCTGATTTTTGTCAGTACCGCCGGTGTCCTTCTCCCGAGATTTCGCAAATCCTCGCAGACTGACGTCGGAACGTGAAAACATGGTGCGCGCTTGTTCCGCATGGCAATGTGTCGTGTCGTGATTATGCATGAGACAAGCGTGTGAGTGCGCTCCGAAGTGAACGGAGACAGATATTTGCAAACAGATTTCGGAACTTATCTCGCGGCCCATAAGAGTCTGGCCGTCCCGTTGCTCCAATCCCGTTGTGGATGAGAAATGCCGAGAGTACGGAAGAGGAGTGATGAGAGAGAGAGAGAGAGAGAGAGAGAGAGAGAGAGATTTCATGTTTTCGTAATCTTCCTTTCGTTGTCTCTTTTATCGTCGCTTAATTTACTGTTGTTCAGTGACGCCAAGGCTTATCAGGTTTGTCTTGTACAACAAGGCTTCGTTCGAGCTAGACAGGACTAAAAGTGAAGTAGCGTCGATCGATTACAGCTCGATTTTCACCCGGCCGCTCTTCTCGCGAAGCTTACTTATTGCTCGCGCGCGAAGCGACTGCCGGAAAACTCCGTTGAACGAATTCGCGAAGTGAAGGTCTGATTGCGCGCGAGAGTCCCGTCATTTCCGACGGCAGTCACTTTCGCGCCGCAGACATGTCGATTGGCTAATTTTACGAACTGAGAATGCCCTTCCGCACTCGTGTGAGATTCGCCCAAGAGTTTCATCGACACTGACCGTCGCACGTAGACGGTGACATTTGCGGCTGCAGACACTAAGAGTGTCTCCTACGTCCGTCGTTCCACCGTCTTCAGCTACTTGTGTAGGCTCGATAATTAATTACAAACTCTGTATCGCTGTTAACCCTTTCACTGTTAGTGGGAAGTATACTCCCCACCTTTTCTTGATTCAATTTTGCGTTGTAGAATCACATAATTTTGAAGAACTAATCGGGGATTTGAGTTTTCCAGATAACTGAATAGTTGTTCAACATATTCCGATAGGTTTTTATACCCAATTGTTCATTTGTGATTATTTGTAACAAATCAAAGTTAAAAAAATGCTTTTCTTAGGGAAAAATCGATTCCTCGGAGAGTATTGAATGTAGAGAGGTCTGAAATTTTCACCAAATATTCTTCTGATGTTGTGCAAAAACATATATTTTTTTGCAGGTTAGATTTTTTATAAACAAATATTTCTACAAAAACGGCTGAAGTTTGATTTTTTTGCACTTTTTAGCTCCATTTTCCTAGTTTTTTTCATTCTGTATCTCCATCTTATCCATACTATCAATATTATTTTACTCAAAAATGAATGTTTAATCTCTAGTAAGCATAAATATGCAGTGTTGAACATTTTCCCACATAAATCCCGCCACTTTGAATTCGGTAAATCTGACTTCAGATTCTCGTAATCAGCGACCCGAGAAACCCCATACACCATCAATAATAATTGGAATTTTCATTAATTTTGTACATCATGATCGCCATATTGAGCGCGCCGTTTTGAATTTTGCAAATCTGACTTTAGATTCGTAATCAGCGACTCAAAAAACGTAGGACTACCAAATATTTTAATAATTTTCTCAAGGGAAGTTAATTCAGCAGTGAAAGGGTTAATAAGGACTGACTCGATCGAAAGCTTCGGTCGCGGCGCAACGGGAGGTCACGCACCGCTTTTGCCACTGGAATGTGATGTTTGTTTGCACTCTGTGATACACATGTGTTGGTAGAGCCGATGATGTTATGAATCTCTTTCCGAGGCGAATGCGTATATCTGACGTTCAAGATGTTCGACTCGCGAAACGCTGAAAGCGGCGTCTCATCACCGTGTTAACGAGAGACGCCCGTCACCATCGTGGTCGTCGGCGTTGTCGTTATCGCGATCGTCCAGACTGATATCGCGAAATACGGAAAGCAAACAACCGGCGCCGCGCCTTTTCGAAATCAGCGTCTCGAACAGGCCAATCGGGGTTTCTTGCGGAATCGCGAGACTGTCTCGGTCAACAGTCGCCGTTCGTCCGAGATTTATGTCTTGTCGAATGATAAACACCGCGGACCGCGACTGCCAACCTTTTTGACGTCCACGTGTGCGTTCGCGCGCATCTCCTCGTTACGTACAACGCTCGAGCAGGCGGAATAAGGAGCGAGTTAGAGGGGCAGAAAAAGACGGAAGTTCTCGGGCGATATTCGAGAGGAAGAATCGACGTCCAAGAGAAAAGAGAGAGAAAACCCATACGGCACAGAAGTTGCAGCAATATTGCCGCAACGTTGCTGCAACATCGCAACATTGTTGCTTGCAGCAACGTTTTTCCAACTTTGTGTGCTGTGTAGTAAGTTGACAACTTCCGTACCTGTAAACGTCGACGGGTAACACACGCGTTAAACAAAGAGCGAGAGAGTCAATCGAATCTGAACGCACACACCGAGGAGAGAAAAAACCGGCCGACCGTCAAAGAAGGGTAGAAAAAGAAGAGCAAATGAGAGAGAACCGACCAGACGAATCGTCTCCTCCAGGGTGAACTCGCGAAGGCTGGGAGAACTTGCCCCTCCCCCCGTCCCCAAGAGCACTTGGGGACGTTGACGTTTCGCCCTCGCGAGTTTACCCTGGAGGAGGGATCGCTCTGCGGACGTCGACTCGTCGCCCGCATCGCGGCATCGGCCGTCTCCGTCGGCGGCGCGGCGCTAGGTCCTCTCACGCGCCGTAGTAGATGTTGAGCGCGTACAGCAACTTACCGATGTCGCCGCTGCTCGAGCTCTCGGTGAAGGACGGCGTGCCCTCGGTCCACGTGGGCGTAGAGCCTTCGGCGCTTCCGGCCGGCGGGGTCCACGTGAGACCGCCGCCGCCGCCGCCGCCGCTGCCGCTGCCGCCGCCGCGGCTGCTGCCGCCGCTCTCGACGCTCAACGACGACTTGGTTTCCCTGCCGCCGCTGCCGCTGCCGCTGCCGCTGCTCTCCAGGTGCACGTCCGATATGCTGGGTGGGAAAAGAGAGGACTTAGCACGGGCTGGCCCGGGGTCGCCACGACGTGGATTATATAACAGACACGATGTGTGCGGTTAAATACTAACATTTTCCTTTTCCTGAAGTTGCCGTGATAAAGCGAACACGTTTTCGTTTTCGTATGCGTGCAAAAGTGTGCGTGAGGGTAAGCGTAAGAAACATAAGATATGTCAGGTTCAGATTAAGTAACGTCAACGAAAGATTCGCGCGGGTGTACAGTCACTTAAGCTAGCTTATCTATCCATCATGTGCCTCCTTCCTCCCCCGCCCCTCCCCCCGCCTCCCTACCCGTCAAACGGTAAACGCACGTTTCCAGCGACTTTTTTCCAGCGCCAGCAAGATCGAGAGCGAGAAAGATCGCGATCGGATTAGCGTCGCGATGGCTGACCGATTGCGGCGATAATTAGCAGCCGCGTCGCCTGCTCGTGCGTTACCGTTCGAGGGTCGTGCTAATTTAATTGAACCGTCAACGAGAATCATCGTCAAGTGGACGACACACTCACCTGACAGTGTCGTGATACATCTTGGTGACTGTAACGTGATGAACGACCTTATTCTGCTTGGAATGAGCAGAGGCCAGGCTGCTGGCGAGGACGTTGGCCGCACCGCTCTGCTGAAGGTGACCACCGGAAGCCAGGGTTTGGTCATTCGAGCGGACTGCATCGTCAAAGGGCGGGGGCGGGGTGGAGCAGGTGGAGGGAAGGGTGCCACCTACAAAAAGCGCGCTACAATTAGCCCTAATTAACGTACAAGGGCGCAAGGTAATCGAACGCTAAGACGTGGTCATATGCGGGGGAGGGAGGGGGGGGAGGGAACGGAGGTAGGCGGACGGAGGCGGCGGTTTTTTAGGGGCTCGGTTTTGGCGCGGAATCACACGGCTCGCTTCTCGGTAGTCTCTTCTTCAGCTTTGTCACTTGAACTTTCTAACGCGCGCCTGCGAGGACAATTGGCAAATCCGAACGCGTCGAGTTGGTCTTTGGACTGTCATTGAATTATCATCGTCAGGCGCGCGACTGAGAATACGCACAGGATCTTGCCGATACGCAAGGCGCTGCAGGAGCCTGCAAGAGTCCCGTGATCTCTACGTTGTTCGTGCCGACCCGAAGGTTGTGGACCCACGGCGACTTCGAAGAGCACCTTGCCTATGGGCTCGATCGTTTCCCAATCGTTGCGGGCTCTCTTTCCTCCCCCGAGAAATCCGTTTCAGTAAAGGGTAACTTACACACACACACACACACAGTTTTGCTTTCACTCGCTTTGAGCAAGGCTCTTGATTCGCCAGCGAGTTCGTTGGTAAAAACACCTTCTGTAGACGGTAGATTTTTCCGCCAGCGTCTAAGATTTAGAATCCGCTGGTGAAAATTTCTAGACGCTCGATTCTCACTCGTCTGGAAGTTCGATTGAGCTTCTTGATTAAGAAACTCGCTCAGAGCGAATGAAAGCAGCACCGTGTAAATTACCCTTAAGTGATGAACCCTCCAGCCTGCGCACAAGTGTGCACAAGCTCGACAAAGCTTGAGATATAAGCAGCCATTAGTATTTACAAGAGTAGACTGCTATAGAGAGGTTCCAAGCGCGACTGTACACGCACAGAAAAGGAACAGCCCGGGCAAAATGACGTTTCTAACATTCGTCAAGCAGCAGGCAAAGCAAAGCACAGTGCGCAATCGGCAATTGCTATGCGATAACGCCCCCCGTAAATACGGACTTTGCATCGCATGCGGCTCCTCTTCAAGAGCGCTGGAGACCCCGGATCTTTCTCTGTAGCGGCTAAGATAACGTACATCCATACTCGAGCCAGAACGACAATCTCCAACCGTAAACTCAATGACACCGTCTATCTACGCAAGCGCGACAGCAATCGAACTATTCAGCTGGGGCATGTAGGAGAGGATTCGTCGAGTTTCTCAAACGACGACAAACATAGCCTCACACATATCGTACACACACACACACTAACACGTTATCACGACACGTGCGCACACACGACGAACGTATCTCTACGTTGCACATCGACGTAGATGGACGTACGTGACACCAACACCGAGACAAAAAAGATGAACAGGCGGTTTAGTAGGAACAAGTAGGAACTCTTCAGGGTAACCTATGTAACGTATGTACAGTGTACGATTAGTAGCAAGAAAGAGAAAAGACAGTGAGGTTGGCTAGACGGACAAAAACTAATTAACACTAATTAACACGAGTCGAATCGGCTGGGAAGAAAAGGGAGGGGGAGGGGGGATCATGGGTTCGGGAACGACTCGGTTCCAGGACTTGGTCTCGCGATACGCAACACGTTGACGTTTACTCACTGCGCGCTTGCCCTTGTCGGCAGAATGCAATTCTCTACGCATGCAATTCCCAAGGAAACTGGCTCTCTAAGAGAGTCCGCTAACGAGTTTCTACGGAACAATGATCGTTCGACGCGGTAGGCGTATTTCGAGAGTGATTTGCGTCGCGTACGCAAACGATGTTGGAAAATCGTCGACGAGCGGCTGATCCTCCTCGGTGTTCATCGACGATATCGCGATAATGCATTCGACAATAAAGGCGCTTGATCAGCATCGTCGGAAGTGTCATCTTCTCGTGATCGAACGTATGAGATCGTATTGATGGCACGCGGGAAATTGTTCTCGTGCTCGCGCGTTATCATGCGGCGGTGATGGAAAGAGCGAAAAATCAAGATAAGGAAATAGACATTTTATGCGACAAGCTCTGATTGCGGGTGCACGGAGGAAGCGAATCCGTCGGTGCAACTGAATCGCCCGTTGCCTGGCGACCGGGACGAACACTCGGCTGTAGAAATTTATTTTAACGGGTCAATCGGCCTTGGTTCTAATCTCAAAGAGAGTCTCACTGCTTCACGCTAGAACCACCAAGCGGTGAAACACGACCGGCTTGCAATTTCTTAGGTTACATTTTCTAAATCAGAAGATTTCTTAGATTAGGTTCTCTAAATCAGACGAATTCTTAGGTTAGGTTCTCTAAATCAGAAGAATTCTTAGGTTAGGTTCTCTAAATCAGAGGAATTCTTAGGTTAGGTTTCCTCAATTTCTTAGAAGAATCGCTGAGATCTTTCAGTCTAAGATTAAAGCCAGGATCGGGGATTAAGAGAACTAGATGAACGTTCTCGCCTAATTTGTGCGTGTAACGTATCTTTTTCAAAAAGCGACCGTCTCGGTCGCTTTTGTCGTCGGTAGTTCCAGCGTGAAGACAGCCGAATATTGAGACGAGCATCTTCCCGCTCACGGTCGTTTCTCGTAAACGACCTTTTGTCCGGTGCATTCGGTCATCCAGTCACGCAAACGGAAATTCTTTTTCCCCACGTGGAAGCCGTGTGGTTCTCCGTCACAAAGTCCACGAGTCGCTATCGCACATGCGTTCGTTCTCCCGACAGATGAGATGCGGGCAAAAATCAATTATCGGCCCGATATCGCGTAGGTTTTCTCCTCTTTCCACCTCGCTCCAGCCGCGATTACCCGAAATACGCGTGCACACTCGGGACGCGACGTGCTGATAACCGGCGGTTATCTCTACGCGACTGCAACTGTGTCTCCCGATAAGTGTGCAGAAACGAGACGTTCGGCACGAGCGATCCGAATTCTCGAGGGCCGAGCGACAGGTCGTCGCAGTGGCCGTCCGGGAGCGACTTGAAGGCTCGCTTCTCGCGACTGGGACTGATCTTCAGCGTCTTCGTTTCCGACCCGACGTCGGCTCCTTCCTGAATCGACCCGGCCTCGTCGACCGGCCATGCTCGTCTCGCGGCGGCCACGTAGTCCGAATTGTACGGACGCGCGTCTCCTCGCCGTGACTCCTTCGCTCCGCTTCTCACGCTCGTCCGGAAAGTCTCGAAGCTCTTGACCTTCTCGCAAACGAAGGATCTCACGTCGCTCTTCCCGCTCCTGATGTTGTCGAGATTGGCGGAGACGGTCGCTTCTCTGCCGACTGCGCCCGGCAGTTGGCTTGGATTCGCCTGGATTTTTGCTTTGGAGCTTGCTTTGTTGGCTGGCTTGAAGTCGCCTTCGCTTCGTATCTCCGGTTTCTCATCGGCCCGTCGGTTAAATTTGCTGATCCGCTCGCGAACTATTTTGTCCCTCACGTTCTTACTTTCAACACGATGACTCTTCGAGAAGATCCCCTTGAAGCCGCCTCTCTTGTTATCTCCTTGCTCGCCACTCGTGCTCTTCAACACATTCTTCTTCTCGTCGGTATAGTTGTTGTTGTTGTTGTTGTTATTATTACTCGTACTGGGACGATCTTGTCTCGAAGAAGCTTGCTCGCGCTTCATCGTCGACTGTCTGCCGCCGTGAGGACTTTTGTCTTTCTGAGGAGCTATTTTCAGGGGAAACTTTTTACTCTCGACCTTCGTCTTCGTTTCTTCGTCCGGGCTTCTCAGGCCGAAAATTCCGGAGCTTCGTCTCTTCGCCGATGGCTTCGGCGCGAGTCGCTTCTTCCTTCTGGATCTTTCCCGGATTTTTCGCAGCAGCACACTATCCTTCTTCGTCGTGAATCTCCTGCGTTTCGCATGTTCTTCAACAGACTCGTTCTTCGCGCCTGTAACCTTCGCGTCTTCCGTCGACCTTCCGTCGCGGTACGACGTTGTCGTGATGGTCGTGATGGACGCCTCCAGCTCTTTTTGTTTCCTCTTCATCCTCTCGTAATAAGTCTCAGAGTGCTTTTTGTCTTTCCGGGACATCGTGTAATTCATTAGGTCAGCTCGGGAGCCTGGATTCAAAAAGTACGTGAACTTTTCCAGATGATCCATTCTTCCTCTTCTATCTTTCCCCCGGGCATCGCGATCCTCGGCTTCTTCAGCTTCTTCGGCTCGTCCCTTGAAGCGATTAGACCGATAAACCCCACGATCCGGTCTGAAGGGATGTGGGCTGGTCTTGATGAAGTAAACGTCCTCGATCTTCTCCACGCTGACAAACTCGTCATCCTCGTAGACTTGTTGTTGGCTATCGCGCCAGTCTCGAGCAGGCTCCACCGGTCGATCGCTCCCGACGTCTCGGTGGAAAACGTCGCGGTGTGACGTGGTGACGCGGTATGTGTCGAATGTTGGCGCACGGTGGTGTCGGAGGGCATGCAACGCGTCGGAGGTAGTAGTGGTGATGGTAGTAGTAGTAGTAGTAGTAGTAGTAGTAGTAGCTTTGTTAGAAGTAGCGGCAGTGACAGTAGAGAAGGTCACATCGTTAGCGGTGGTATTTGTAGTGACGCGGGTGGAACGGTCAGAAGTGAGTGGGAGCAGGTGTTGGTGTTGGTGTTGGTGGTAGTGGTGGTGCGGGTTGTTGCTCGAACTGCACTCATGCAAGCGGTATCTCGTGATAATGGCTGCTTCATCACCTCGGCTGGAAGTCACCGACGACGTGGTCGAGGCGGCGCCGGCCGCGCGGTGCTCCTCGGAGGACCTCGCGGTCCTCGAGGAGCCGGTGCCGCGCGGCGGCACCGGCGGTGGCACCTTGCCAGACGGCACCAGGTTCGGATTCGGCGGACTGGCCGCGCTCCTGCCCTTCAGCACGGCCGGATAACTCGTGACCTTGACCGTGGGGGCGGCGGCGACCCCCAGTGGATGCTCGTCGCGATGCGAAGCCTGACCGGCGGCCAAGGTCAACGGGGGTGGGCTCAGCGGGCCGGCGGCAAGGTTAACCGGTGTCGAGGTGGCGATCGGCACCGAGCCGCTCGAGATCGCCGTGTTCGTGGTCGCGCTGATCGCAGGATCGGGTGGGCTAACTGCTGGCGGACGTCGAGGTGTCGTGCTCGTAGGTCGATGGTGGTGGTTTCGAGGTCGTCACGGAGATTTCGGTCACGGGGGTGAGCAGTCGCGCGTGCAGCGTCGCGATGATGGCGGGGTGGTAGGGGGAGACAGAGATATACGGGCAGGCAAAGAGAGAAACAGAGAAGCTGGATGAGAAGAAGAAGTCGCGAATGATTTCCGAATGGGCCGAACCGTGCAACGTTGATTCTTCGCTCGGCCTCTTCTCGGCTTTCCCGCGCGACTCGAGCGATCGGACACGGTGCAATTTTGTAAACATCGCGACTCACCGGGCTATATGATTCAGATAGGGGGGAGAGAGAGAGAGAGAGAGAGAGAGAGAGAGAGAGAGAGAGAGAAAGAGACGGAGAATGATCCCGAAGATGACTCTCGAGCCTGATGCGATCCCTTGTTTCTCGCAATTTTCTCGACTCGGAAACGTATCGAATTTACGTTGCACAGCCCGCCCGACGAATTATCAATCTGCGCTTTTGGTTAAGCAAACAATGACACATGATGACTCGTAATTTATCGTCGTGATTTGCGGAGACGGTTCTCCTCTCGATTTGTTCGTTCCTCGTCAATCCTGGGCAAACTCGACAAAGGATAGCGTAATTTAACAAATTTCCCGACAGACCGTTCGTCGTTTATTCTCTTTCCTTCTTTTTTTCATGACGCGGGATGTCGCGTCGCGGTCTTCCACACACGGCCACGGGGAAAGAGTTGTATAACGTAACGAGAAAGAGAGAGAGAGAGAGAGGGAGAGAGAGACAGAGAGAGAGACATAGAAAGTGATCGTATGAGAGACTCACCGGCTTTCGTGGGTGATGTAGCATGCATTGTCGAACCTCCAGTTGCCGCCACCGCTAAACCACCATACAACACCATGTACCATTACCGTATTGCCACGCGCGTCCAGCTCTCGATCGGACAGAGAAACTCGTCCGCGGACCTTCTCCTGGGTGTTCTCGTACGCGAAAGCCATTCAGTGCCAGAAGCGCGTAACCAAGCGTGAGATCTCGCCCGTGTGTCATCATCATCATCGTCGTCGTCGCGAGATCCCTTCGAGCGGGCAACGGGCGCGCGAAGACGCCGAGCGTATTCGATCCCGAAGCTCCGCCACGACCTACGTCGTGATCGCAATTCGAGCCCTGCTTTTTACGCTTCGAAGCTCGCGGCGTTCGCTACGTTCCTCTAAGCGTTCTCAATTTGCAGCGTGGGCGAAGCACGATGAAAGCGAGCCCTTGCCGGGAATCGCGCAGCTCGAGTTTCTCTGTCGCGTCGTCGGCCGAGTCAGAGTCTCAGCGGAACCGCGAGAGGCAGAACCGGGGGATTCGAGCAGAGGGGACTCGTTCGTGTGAAAATGACGGACGGTGGAGGAACATTTGATATACTCGACATTCACGATATTCACGAAGCTGTATTACGCTGTGGGGGACGCGATCGCGCTCTGATCGGTCAACGGATTAATTACAGGGACACGAGTGGGAGAGAATCGAAGGACTCTCGAGGTGCATAGGACTCGTGAACTAACGGGCAATCATATTTCGCCAGGTGACGGTGAGAGATGTAGCGCTTTAACGAGGTGCACAAATTGCTCCCAATTATTATATACACCGCAAAAAGATTTATCGATCGCGTAGTATTTACACCGAACGCTTACGATTCCAATACGGTCTAACGGGTGCATTTATACGGTATATGTACAAGTCTATCTGACGAGGGAAATTGAACTTAAATTCGAGGCTGAGAGTTGAGAGTTGAGTGTGAGAAAAATTTCCTTTCCACGTGCGTGAAAGTTTGACACTGGAGGCTTTGAGAGCAAAGGATCCGAAGTTTGATTTCATTTCAGGCGGGAATTACGAATGCGGATTACAGGCCATTTTCAAGACTGTTTTGACGAATTCTTTTAACAGAAACGGTAGGAGCAATGGACTTGAAATTTTCGCAATGTATTCGTTAATTCGTTCGAAGCATACAATAAATTTGTTACTATCTGTGTGGAAAGTACACATCAAACTTTAATCTGAGCGTTTATCTGGAAACAGCGTTTTCTTAAACTGTCGACACGATTACGCAAAAACTATTAAACCGCATGATAAGTTGAAATTTTTACAAAATATACAGTAGACATGTAGTTTTCGCGCCCCTACCTCGAACACAGTTATATTTTATTTTATTCATTCTTTTTTAAACATGATTGACAAGTTGAAAAAAATTTCATTTTCGATATTTTCTTTCGTGCAGTCATTATTTTTCCAAACTTGGCTTCACTGTCTTTATCTTGGTACGAGCTACAATGGCAATGGTATATTTCGGAAATTTTTCTCACTTTTTCGTTTCAGAGTAGTGAGAGGCCCAGAATTATGTCGGCGGTAAACATAGAGCTCGCAAACGGATGACTGCGCTTTTATCTATAATTACAAGTCGGATCGGTTCTTGTGACTCAACGCAGAGAGAACGATTTACTTGAATTTAACAAATGCTTATTTGGAATAGTCCAAATAAATTTTTTTATTGATCGAACGAAGTTTTGTTTGACGCAACAAAAATATTTTGTTGCAGCTTAGTTCCAACGAAATGTTTTTGTTGCGTCAAACAAAATTTTGTTCGATCAATCAAAAAATTTATTTCGACTATTCCAAATAAGCATTTGTTAGATTCAACTAAATCGTTCTCTCTGTGAATAAAATTTATTTTTTTGAACTTTGAACATTAATGAATACACTGTGAAAATTTCACGTTCATTGATCTTAGCGTTTCTGTTAAAAAAAACTCGTAAAAATAGCCTTGAAAACGGCCTTCCGCATGAAATTTCCCCCTTAAACTTTTCACTGAAACTAAATTCTCCGCTTTGAATTGTAAGCTTCAATTTAAAAGTTCTTTTAATCTAAAATTTGAATACAGATGCAAAATTACGAGTCGAAGCTGCGAGTGGAAATTTCCATTCGAGCTTCGAGGGGGAAAGAAAGGACTTCGGCTATCGCTCCAAGTCGGACATCGTCTCGATCGTAAAGGTGCACCTTTTACAAGGTGCCGCGTGTTGAAGTTTGAGGGATAGTTAGGGATCACACAGTGGACGTACATACGTTTCCTACACGCACAGCGGAGTATTCACAGTCGGGTGGGACGGGGAGCGGGAGCGGACTTCACCTGGAGTCGTTCGCGTCTTCGCGCATCGGCGGTACCGTCGTGAATGCTTTGGAAGCGGGTAACATGGGTATGCCGCAACTAAATTTACTGCACTGATCGCTGTGCCCGGCTGCGTACGTGAAATCCAGCGCAAAGCCAATGATAGAACCGCGAAAGAGCGTTTCCTTCGGAATCCTCGGCGCGATTTTCGGAAGCGGAGTTTCGCGCGTTTCCCGCGAGAACGTGTCTCGAGAGTCTCGAAATGTGCGACATTGCACGCACGTGAATTCCCGAAGGCAGTCAATTGCACTGCTGCACCCCGGCTGGTGTGTGTGACTTTGAACGAACGCTAAGGCTGCTCATTGGCAAAGAAAGAAAAAAAAAAACCCGCTCGTTGCGCCGCTTCTGCGATTGCTTGAGAATCGAGAAGACAACGAGTGTCCACGCGGTTCATCGTCGACGACGTTCCGAAAACCGATCGTCGTCGCAACTCGTCATTCGTGGCGTCGTGTGAAACAAGCGTGAACAACTGTCGGGTAAAACGGTGAGAAAGAGAACCGACAATCGGATGCCGCGACATTCGAGTTGAAACTGAACGCACTCACCGGTCGAGTCGAAGTCACCGTCCAACGGCCTTAGCGGTCTGGTGATGCTTTTCCTCTTCGACGGGGAATGTTTCAAGGCTGCAACACAAAACGTACGGCGCTACAATACCTCGCGCGCAGTCGTGCACGACAGGAAGAAAGAACACCGAGTTATAATCTCAAGGACCAATCGGTGCAAATTAATTATGCCAAGTACAAAAGAGAGAGAGAGAGAAAGAGAGAGAGAGAGAGAGAGAGAGAGAGAGAGAGAGGGGGGGGAATTCAAACATGTTACGCTACAGAAGCTGACATCAGTACCGTAGCAAGGATCGGCAGGACAAGTGGTTATTTTCCACATCAAACGAAACATAAATCACCGGGGCGAGCCTGATTGTTAGTCAAGAATCCACGCGAGCCGCTCTATCGGTGATCGTTTCATTTCATCCGTGGGAATCGCATCTCCCTCCCCCGCGGTCGGGAAATAATCACCGCCGTAAAAGCCAAGTAAATATCACGATACACGAAGAAAGAAAAAAAGATCGTTTCGAATCGACGCTGAGCGAACCGAGCGCGTTCCGACCGAAGGAATCGGCATTCCTGCTTCTTAACGTTCATGAGAGAACCGGAGATTCTCTCTCTCTCTCCTTCGGCCGAAACGCGTTTGCTTGTCGTTCGCGTGATAATTCGGGCAGTCTTCTCTTCGATCTAGACGGGGGCACTTTTGATTAGAATTTCACGCGTCTCTCAAGCACACGCACGATTCCCCAGGGACTTCCCCCGAGCAATGCGAGTCTCGCTACAGCACTGTCTGCCATGACTCTAAAGTACGTCTAAAAACGCCGTCTTCTTCTCTCGGTTCTACAACACTAGTCTAAGGTCCGCCGCGAAATCGCTTTCGGAATCGCCTTGGTTTTAGCTACAAGGTTGGTAGGTCTTAAACCTTAGACTTTGATACGTAATTCCGTAATCGATCAGCTGATGACGCTTGGACGACGCTTCATGTACTATTCCTGCTTACGAACTTGGTTTTAGCTGTTGATTTTAGCGTTATTGATTGTAGCGTTATAGAAATTTTGTAGCGATAAAGAAATGGATAGATTTTTTACTACTTATCTCGCTGATCGATCAGCGCTGATCGATTACGGAATTCATGTTAGTTTAAAGCCTGCCGATCTTGCAAGTAAAAGCAAAGTTTGCGAAAGGCAATTGCGCAACGGGCCTCTAGTCTAGCCTGTGCGTTGCAGGCACGCTAAACACTATCGCGCGCGCCGTTTGGTCGGATAGTATTCGCAGATGCGTAGAGTGTCTAATTACACGCACATTACACGTATAAATAAGTACAGACATGGTCAAAGCCGACGACATTTACGGCTCTCGCTCGCCTATCCAGCGGAAGCTTTATCCGTGTCTGCTTTTTCTACTCTCTTCGCCTTTCTCTTGCACGATCAACGATATCGTCTCACTCGTCTACTACTGCCTTATATAGCCCATGCCTAAGTAATTAGTATCACATAAAGAAGTACATACGTACATGAGAAATGTGTGTGCTGGCTTCCATAGAAATATATATATTTTTTTCTGTTTATGTATATGTGTGTGTGTGTGTGTGTGTGTGTGTATGTGTGTGTGTGTGCGCGCGCGTATGCGTGTGTTGTGTGTAGAGTGTGTGATAAGAAAGTAAACATCTCTCGTTGAAGTCGTACAAACATTCGGTCTGTGATCGATCAATCTATCGGTCCGTGCCATGTGATTGCAGGGTATGTCTAGGCTAAACTAATTGCTGCACGATATATCGGATGTGACGAGGAAGTGAGAAGGGGGAGGGGATTTTCGAGGACGTGAGTTCGTACAGAGAGAGGTCCGGTGAACATATCATGTCGGTGGGACGAATGTTTTCCAAAGGGACGGACGGAGCAACGGGGGGAGCAACGCGTGTTTCTTGACAGCGAGGTTCCTCTCGTCGGTTCGATCGGCGAGACGTGTCGTGAGAAGATAACAAGCATGTATATGTGTGTGTGTGTGTGTGTGTAGAGTAAGAGTGAAGAGGTTCGATCGTCACGTTCTTGAATATCGGAGGAGGCGAGGGGGTGAAGTTGAAAAATTCTCGTGAAATAAAGAGAAAGAGAGAGAGAGAGAGAGAGATTCTCTGGCTCGTTGCGAGATTTGTGAGCGAGAACGTGTGTGGCGAGAAACGGACAAGTGTGTAGAGTGATGAAGAACAAAAGAAAGAAAGAGGATACTACATGCATATTAGGTCACAACACTCACAGGCGATGGTTGCAGAAGCGACATAAAATAGAAAGAGAAAAAGAGACAGAGAGAGAGAGAGAGAGAGAGAGGAGGAGGAAGAAGCGAAGCGCATTCACCAAGAGATTCTCGTTTGCGCGATTCCGTCGAATATTCGAATTCGCGTCCACCATTGGAGCCACAAGTGCGATTCGAGGGATCTTCTTGGCACTCGACGAATGTCCCAAAAATTTACACACCGCGCATACCCAAATGCGTCGGCGAGCAAGCGCGAGAGGTTCGACCCTCGAAAGCTCGACTTTTTTTCTTTCAAGTGGGACAGCGACGAGTATCGAACGAGCGTAATTTCTTCGTAAAAATGAAGGCATCGCGCGTTCGACAGAGCTTGTTCTCGCGAGCAGTGCCAAATTCGGAGAAACATGCAAAGAAGCTCGGAATCTATCTATGAATTCGCCTGCGCGGACATTTTTCCGTGATCGCTCGAGTCTCAAGCTCTCCAGCGAGAGTTGTACGCGCGTCTCGTTCACTGGTTGTGCGCGAAGTTTGCATGGTGACGGTCAAAAGAGAGAGAGAGAGAGAGAGAGAGAGAGAGAGAAAGAGAGAGAGAGAGGCAGATTCGCGCGTTGAACAGAAGCGAGGAGCAGAGCGTGAGAAACGGATCGTAAGAAGATACGCGCAGGCAAACAGGATCGTAAGAAGAAAAAGGAAGAAGGAAAGAAAGAGAGCGAGAAAGAACAAAGTACATACATTCGCACAAAAATGGACAGATGGACGCACACATAGACAGAGTTACCTATGTAGCTGGTGACGAGGTTACGGAATTTGCGGTGATTCCCCTTAATCTCAGGCAGGTCCACTTTTGGTAATCGATTTTCGAGTTTCGATCAGTGGTAGTAGTAGTAGTAGTAGTAGTAGTAGTAGTAGTAGTAGTAGTAGTAGTAGTAGTGGTAGTAGTAGTAGTAGTAGTAGTAGTAGCGGTAGTAGTAGCAGTAGCAGGTCAGATGAGGTCATTGGGGGTCGACACGGAAAGAAGTGCACGGGACACAGAAACATCAACATTTAGCCAACTCCGTATATAATATGATTATATATACCGAAAGTTTATATATCGAACGACAAATCGTAGGGACTGCCGAGAATAGATAGATACATTAAAGAGAGAAAGCCAAGGATACATCTAGTTTCTCCAAAAAACGTGTCAAAGTTGTGAAAAACACAAAGCGACTTTAAAGCGACCTCGATTCCCCAGGCTGTGTTCGGCCGGGGGGGGGGAGGGGAGCATGATTCGTTCGTGTCTGTACCATCGCGAAAGTTTCGACCTCTCTACCTCGTCTCGAAAAATCTCGAGTCTCGTTATCACGCAAACATTCGCGAGGCTCGTGCCGTACGAGTCGTAGCGTCGTCGTTGCGTCCTAAAGAAAAGACCGAAGGTAACTACACCGATCACGAGACCTTTCTCCGGCTGCTTTCTCGATCAGCTGTCGATCTGCATAATCTAATCATTAAGATTACATCGCCATGTATGGGTGACAGGTAATTTCAACGAAACGCAAACGTACATAACACAAACAACAAACACATCGCATGATACAATGTTAAGACAATACAATACAAAGTGTAACGCGAAGATGGTGCGAGAAACTCAATCGTTATGAATAAAGATGGGGCAATGTGAGTTTGTAGAGTTAGAGGATGTCGATTATAATGTATGACGGTACACGTGACGGTAGCAGTAGTGATGACTGATGATAATTGTAGTAGTAATAGTAGTGGTATATATAGTAGTGGTGGTGGTAACAGTATTAGTAGTAGTAGTAGTAGTAGTAGTAGTAGTAGTAGTAATAGACAAGATAGCAGTGATATAGCAATGGTAACAGTAGTGGTATTAGTTGGCGTAAGTACAGTAGTAGTATCAGTATAGTAATATCGGTGATAGTAATAGTAGTATAGTAACAGTGGGTTACAAGTGTTCTCGGGTGGGCTTATAAATGAAATGAAGTTGTAAACAGCGAAAATGTTTATTGCAAAATATATAAATATGTACAATGGTGCCCACGTTCAGTCGATAGCTGAATATTTTCACAATATAAAAAAAGGTCTACTTGTCTACCGATAAATTGTCGCTCTCTCGCACACTCTCGCACTCCTCCTCAAATTAATCGTACACCCACGCGCGGTCCTACTCGCTACTGTTGCCAAAAATATATATATATATATATGTGTGTATATATATGTAGATATCCAACAATATTTACATCGCAAAGATTCCTCTCTCTAGGCAGGTATATAGCTCGCACGAAATCGATTTTAACACCTCTATAGAGAGCCTCTCTATAGAGAGAACTGTTTTGGCACTCTCGTTCTGCATTCTACAGGCAGTCTTATCAACTGAGCTATCTCGATGTACGTGTACGTGTGTGTGTGTGTGTGTGTGTGTGTGTGTGTGTGTCCGTTTGTTGTGTACATGTGTCTGTGTGCGTGTATGCGTGCGCGTATGAGGATATGTAATATTTCGTGCGTTCTACTATACCTTCTCTACCAGTATGCTCTAATGGACGAAAAGATCAATGATTGCTTTGGCGCATTGGTAAAATAGAGAAATTTTTTTTGCCCTCGAAAGTCATTTACTCCCTACGGTGAAAAGCGGGGGACTCTCACGGAACTTTGCTATGCGTGATATTATTCGTGAAAAATTTCAATCCATAAAAATTAGATCGTGACGTTTCGTGTACTAACAAGTGCACACGCATTAATCTACGCTACAAACTAGATCGAGAGAAAAAAAAAAAAAACAAGTCGGTGGCAGGTGGCAAAACGGGTCTTTACTCAACTGTATCATCGTTCGTGCAATATCCAACCGAGATATCGCTATCGAGACGCGACACGCGTCTAAACCCGAAATATGGCTTGCCGGATGAAGTAACTAACATGTAAGCCCGCGAAAATGTCGATGAAAAGTTAAAAGACGGTGTATAATATCGATTATAGAAAAAATACTCAGCTATACCTGTGGACACCAGTGATCGATCATTTCTCTAATCTTTCTCCCGTATACTGAAATTATATCGAAATTAAAACTGTGCGGAGGAAAGTATGAAATGCACAATGAGGCTGGATTTGCAAAATCAAATCTCGTAATACGGAGAGAAAAACAAAAAGTAAAATAAAACAAAACGAAAAGTAGTGAAGAAATTACATATAATAAAATACATATATTGTGTTAGCAATTAGTTACACCAAAACAAAACCCAAAAATGATCAACTGACACTCATAAACCCAAGATGTCTCTTATTCACAACACTGATCCTAAAACGAATGCAGATATCCAAAAAATTTTGTGTCGGGTCGAATTGAATTCTGCTGATTGGAAGCTTCGCGTTTTCTTTCTTCCTGCTTTCCTTTTGGCTGTCTGACTAAAGTCGATAGAGCGCGGTCACGTTCTGATTTGCGGTGATATTTTAAACTGTATATCGTTAAACTATACACAAGGCACTGACAGAGCAATGTTTCTTTTCTTTCCTCAAGTACAACCATAAGATCTCGATGCGAACGTCGCGACTGGATACTTTTCTGTTTTTCGGATATCCGCATGAAATACTCTCTCGTCGCATTCTCTGCAGTCACTCAAGTATCTTAAAGCGCTATTCGTAGTCGTTAGAATATCTCTCTGGACGGCTAAAAATCTGTCTGCGATAAAATTTGCAAAGGACAAAATTCGAGTCGCTCGTCTACGCTTTCAACATTTTCAAGACGTGATGTGTAACTAGATGACGAGGAATTCATTTAGAGATTTGGAATCGCATCGGTATTTTCACATCTCCCGATGATGCCTACGACTATTATTATATTAGATGCTTTTGGAAGCTCTAACTCGTCTCGTTCGACTCTTATCGGTACCGATTCGTTAACGAATATAATTCGTCACTTGTCAGCCAAAGGAACATATATATGTATATATAAATGTATGTACAAGTGAAATCGAATGGACGAGAGTTACACGTTCCGTAGTGAATTGTAACGAGAAGGCTGAAAAATATATATCTCTAGCTTACGGGCTTACTGCTCTATGATGATTGGAATATGACCCTTAAATAACAATGTATAAGTATCTTACTAGTTACACAATAATGATAACAATATGACAATTAGATATTCTAAGTACCGGTTTTTGAGCTTCTTCACTTAAGACGAACTAATTTCATTCTACTCCCGTTTCTCTTTTGCATCGAATCTTTGAAATATGTCTCAAAAGCGTCAATAAAAGTTACATATATTTATATATATATATATAACTTTTATACATATATATATATATATATTCGATAGCATTGTGTATGGTTGAATCACAATACCGATCATTAACAGACAGGGGACGATCCGTAATTTTTTCACTACTCCACGATTAAAATATTTTTAATGACTAGCTAACCTAATTAGAACATACATTTCTCTCTTCTCTTCCTTATATTTTTGCAAAGAAGTCGATTTTCTTCTTTCGTTCTTTTGCTCTGTTTGTTTTCTATGTAATGTGACGAATACTGAGAGACGTGATCAACCAGAAGACAATGGCTACCGCTAAGTGAGTGAGCGTGATTTCACCCACAAATTAGTGAGCTTTGCTGAGTGTTAACCTTGTGGTCAAAGCTGCTAGGACAGGTTGATTCGGATGGTACTTACGTGACGGTATTTTCTTGAATACTGTCTTGGCCATAAAGTCTTGAAAGCGTTGCGCGTAAAATCCTGGTCGATGAACCGATACAGTGTCCTGAGAAAGTAAGAAACACTCTTTCTATATCACTAACGCTACGTTGCCATCATCGAGGGAGAAAAGAAGAGAGGGGGAGGGGGAGAGGGGGGGGGGAGAGAGAGAGAGAGAGAGAGAGAGAGAGAGAGAGAGAGGCAGATGGATAAAGGGAACAAAAGAGAGAGGAACAGAATTCGCGAAGAAGAAATCTGATATATACGCAAATGTCACTTACTCCGTCATGTATCATTGATTTCCACGTATGTTCGAGCTTTTTCTTCAACCTGTAGCTCTGCAGAATGTCGATAATGCCAACGAATAATAAGAGACGTTCACCACGCGCGTTCCTGGCAGGAATGCCGCCTGAACTGTTAGGGCAAAGAGAGAGAGAGAGAGAGAGAGAGAGAGAGAGAGAGAAAGGATGAGAAACGTACAAATGTGGAATTTATTCTAATCAAACGACACATCTGTCGACGCAGGATGTATAAATGTGATACTTACGGTACATCATCCTCTTCGTCTATCGGCTCGCTTTCAGCCTGAATACTCTCCATCGCGGTACTATGAGCAACCAACCTTTGACGGTTTATACTGCGTGATCGATTCAAAGCGACGGCGCCTATTCTGTCGTCCCGCTCTTTTTCCCTCTCAACGTGAATGAATCCGCCGCTTTCGCCACCCATTTCCCCTTCCTCATCGGCGCTGGCCGATAATCTTTGTTCTTGCTGTACAGAGTGCGTGAGAGATGCATGTATAAGTATTATTATCGATATCCGTGTCGCGAAGGTAGGGTACGCGAAGGTAGGTGCGACAAATTGTGCGACTTACAGCTTTTTCCTTCGCGGCCTGGTCGAGATTGTGAATCCCGACGAGCAGCGAGTAATCCATGATTTTGAAACTTTCCAACACGCGACAATCGCGCTGTATAGTTTTCACGAGCGCGCCGTACGTATCGGCTTCCAGAAAGATCCCCTCCGGGTGATGCTCAATGAAATCCAGGTCCTTGTACGTCGGAGAAGACTTGGAGCGCTCCGTTTTCGATGCCTGAAATTTGCAACGCGACGCGATGTCGTGAGGCTGCGCGTGTCAGGGAGGAACACGTGGGCGGTGTGAAACGTTCGGAGACGCGTCTGACATTACGAACCTTTCTCTTGTACGTCGATCCTTTCAGATCATACTTCTGATGCAGTTTCACGGACGAGGGTAAAAGATTATTCATAGCCACTAACCTAACATTCTTACTATTACACCGATAGCAATACAATCCAAAAAACTTTGGCAACAATGTTCTTGGATTCTGATTCAGATTCTGCGAGAGAGAAGGAATATCGTATCAGTGTTATTGAAGTGATATCGCGAAATAACGACACCGAACATTCCGGTGATACACGAAGAACTCTCGAAGAACGTACCATGTAATATCCTGGAAGTAGAGTTTGTAAAAACTCGCCTTCTTTGTGTTGTACAGTCTTTATGATGAATTCATCGTCTTCCGTTAGATAAAAGATACTCCCACTAGCGCCAGGATTCGATAACTCGCGCAGTGGCGCGCTGCACATCGACATCTGTCGCAAGCGTGGAAAAATGGCGGATATTAGCGCACAAAAAGTTCTCGGGGCATATGGCTACAGTAGGTAATGCCTTATTTATCTACGACTGCAAGAGAAAGACACACACACACACACTCTCTCTCTCTCTCTCTCGCCCGCGTTCTCTCTCTCTCTCTCTCTCTCTCACCAAAAAGTCGTCCGGTTGAATGCCAAAGAGATCTCTAAAGTAACGAAATGCAATGGGCGCGTAGTTCTTAAACTTAAACTCCGAGAAGTGATGGGCCGGAGTGTGATTCGATCCCTCGCTGGGGAAATTCGTTGTCTCCACCGTCATGAAGTCCTGCATCAGCAAGTCGCGCTCAGGCTTGCTCGCGAGGCCGCCGACCGCGTGTTGTATGCCCAACTGAATCGAGCCCATGATTTGTGTGGTTTGGATCTGCGTGCGACACAAAATTCATCATTTACAACCGCGCATATTCGACTCGCGCGAGGAACTCGTCTCGTAGCGCACGATGAAGCCCGCTAACAGCGCGCAGCTTTATCCTCGCGCAGCGAGCGACAGATCCTCGAGCCGCAAAGGACGAAACCGTCCGCGCCCGGCTTCTTTGACGTACCTTCTTATACGTGATTTCACCTCCCACACCCACTCTCCGGTGGCCGATCTTCCTTTCTCGCTCCGATTTGTTTCTCGACACCCCCACGGGGGCCTTGCCACCTGCTGTGCCATGTTGCACTACTGAGCTCTGCAAAAATAATCGACGATGTATATCATACATTTACGGACAATCGCACGGACCTCGAAATGCTTTTTGGGAAAAAAGAAAACAAGAAAATGCCGATCCCCGAAGATCCTACGTCGTGACCCAACACAACCTTCCTCGCGACTCAAGCGTCGTCTACAATGGCAGTAAGCGATAAGAAGTGAGCGTGAACAGTAAGAAATGGACCGACCACCACAGTTGATTATTTTTGTCACAATCGACTGTGTGACTGCTTGATTTCTTACCGCTTACGCTTACTTCTTACTGCTTACTGCCATTGTAGACGACGCTTCATTGCTAGCGATTCGACGTCGACACGTAGAAGCGCCTAAAAAGAAAAGACTTGTTATTCTTCCTTTCTCCCTCCTCCTCCTCCGAGAGAGTTACTCATTCCCGTCGTTCGTTCGGCTGAATCATTAGCGCGACTGATAAAGATATTTGCGAGCGGCGCTTCGCGTTCGCGAAACTAGCTGCTGCTCTCTCGGCCCGGCGAGTCGCTAACGGGCGCGCGCAGCTGCATCCGTCGTCGTACGAACCGTGAGCCGTGATACTGGCGATAATCGTTCTCATGATTCATAATGACTTTTCGCTCCTCCGTTCGGCTCCTTTCTCGCCGAGCGAGTCGCGCACGATTCGTCGTTTCTTTTTTTTTCCTTCCTGTTTTCGCCGATCTCGCGCGCGGCAGCTTCGGCCGATGACGGGCAAATCGACTCGACTCGGCCCGCTCTACAAAAATAGAGATGATTCCGCGAGGTAAGCACACGAGAGCCACCGCGCGCGAGACCGGCCGCAAATAGAAAATTAGAGGAAGTCGATATATAATACATATTGATTGACTCGTTCACTCGCTCGCTCGCTCGCGGCAATAACGCCGCCGCCTGCGAGTACGACTTATTTCCGGCTCGTCGTTCGCGGACCTCTTTCCTATTCGGGGGGAATGCTAATTCAGCCTCGGCCGCGCGTTAACGTTTAATTCTCGGGTTCCGCGCGCTGCACATTTAACGAGCCGCGTGGTCGGCGCGATCGCGCGAGGTAAGGATGCAGCGGTCGCGCGATTAATAGCACGGCGCCCGCGTGAAATAACACGCCGCGAAAGCGGGCCGGCGCTAATGGGAGGGAATCGAAGGACCATGAGAGATTCAGCGGCGCCGTGCGAATCGGAGCGACGCCGATACTTTCTTTCGAAAAGCGCATCATTCGCAACGAAAGTTACGTTACGTCAAACACGCGGACGGAGCTGGGATACGTTTAAGTATTTTAAGGGGGTTAAGTAGTTTAAGGGGAAAATACATAAATTACATAAATTATTCCCATTTTCAAGGCTATTTGTACGAATTTTTTTTTTTTCACAGAAACGGTAGGATCAATGGACTTGAAATTTTCGCAGTGCACTCATTAATGTTCAAAGTATAAAAGAAATTTGTTACTATCTACATGGAAAGTTCGTGTAAAACTTTAAACGCGTTCATCTAGAAACAGCATTTTCTTAAACTGTCGACACGATTACGCAAAAACTACTGAACCGAATAACTTGAAATTTTTACACAATATATATACAGTAGACATGTAGTTTTCGCGCTTCTACCTCGAACACAGTTATAGTTTATTTTACTCATTTTTTTTTAACATGATTACAAGTTGATAAGAATTTCATTTTCGATACTTTTTTCTGTACAGTCATTAATTTTCCAAACTTGACTTCATTTTGGTACGGGTTATAATGGCAACTGTATATTTGAAAAATTTTGTTCACATTTTATTTTTTGGAGTAGTGGAAGGCCCGGAATTATGTCGACAGCAAACATAGAGCTCGCAAGTTACAAATTTATAATTACAAATTGAATCGAATTGAATTGAATAAATTTTATTGAATTCTTGTGATTCAATAAAATTTATTTTATACTTTGAATATATTAATGAATACACTGTGAAAATTTCCATTCCATTGATCTTACCGTTTCTGTTAAAAACATTCGTAAAAATAGCCTTGAAAACGGCCTTCCGCATGTAATTCCCCCCCTTAAGGTGAACACACTGATCGCAGCCAAAGTTACGTTACGCTGAAAATGGGATACAAGTAGAAAGTCCAGAGAGATAATCCAACGATAGACTTGTCGTTCGCGGAATGAAAGTTTCGTTAATCTGAAGACGGGGTAAATAGAATACGCAGAAAGATATGGAGTGTTTTAAAGATAGATTTGCTTCGCCCCCGACGAGCACTACGACGTCACGCTAAGGATCGAGGACACGAGACGCGCGCAAATAGAGAGAAGGATATAGGATACTTCAAAGATTGAGATGCATTATCCGGAGTGAGAATTAATTGAATCGCGTTAGAGCTGAATTCAGTCGAGTCACGTTGAAGATATCAGGGGAACGGCCTCGTTCTTCCAGAAATCGGCGCGAATGTTCGGCGAATGCTCGCGTCGCTTCGCGAGAGAGAAGGAAAGTTATGTTATTTGCTCAGCGAAGGATCCTCTTTTCTACTTACGTCAAATGCCGTTGTTTTTTCTCCGCTCGACTTATCTGCAAAAGAGAGAGCAAATGCTTAATTAGACGGAACGGTGTGTACAACGTAAGGTGCATATAGCGCGTGCACAAACGGCATACGTATTAGATAACACGTGTGCGTACGGCGTGCATGAATGCGAAACGGCACGCGAAGCGCGAAATACAAGCTCGCACAAGCGAGAAATTCGTCACCTCTTTCGCCGTGGCAATTTTCCTATCCGCGGAACAGAAACCGCTCCCCGAGAGAGCGAGAGAGCGGGACAGAGAGAGAGAGAGAGAGAGAGAGAGAGAGAGAGAGAGAGAGAGAGAGAGAGAGAGAGAGAGAGAGAGAGAGAGAGAGAGAGAGAGATACAGCGCTCGTGTGCGATACGCGTGCGATAAATATACACCCACATGTACACACAACATGCATACCGAGTGTCCCGTAATTCGCGTCCATTATTTATGCAGCACCGCGTCGCGCCGCGCCGCCTCGTGAAAATTTGTGATGATTTTCCCTCGGCGGAGGCATCATTAATTTCGCAATTAGTCTCCAGTCGTGAGCGCTTAATATTTCGGCGATAAGTGAAGTTTAAAGCAAAGTCCGCGGCAAATTGACCGAACTGAAAAGAGTAATTTCGCCGAGCGGTTGCTCACACCGGAGGCCGCTTTTCCCGATCGGCCTCGTGTGACTCGGGAACCGTCGAGGTCTCGCCAAGATTTTCGCCAAGAGAAAAATCAAAGAGGGACAGATTCACGTGAAAGAAAGCAACAAGCGGTGAGCGAGAGAGTTACGGGACACTCTGTATATTACGCGTATAAGGACGTCTCGGAATATATGGATGCGAGATAAAGTTCCGACGGGTCGCGTGTCGTGTGATCGATCGTAGCGGGGTTAATTCCCTCCGAAAACGTGCCCGGAGAACCTGAATATCAGGTACTAGGAAACATAGATAGACGCGCGCGCGCGCGCGCGACAGAGAGGAAGACTCGGCGGAATTTTTGCACGATCGATTCATCGGCTTCCTCGTCGACTGCGAACGCGCATCCGCGCATTCGGCGACGGCGGGACATGTCGGCGGACGAAGTGTGTACGATGTTCCGCGCGCTTCCGCGTCGCTATTAATCGCAGCTACTTGACCTTTGGAGCGTGTCATGTGTCACAACAGCGTCCCTACTTGTTAACAGCGGAAGTAGCGTTACGCGCGCGCCATGTTGTACGCGGATCGTCCGTACGTCGTCGCACGGTTCGGCCGCACAATTCGCGAAATAAAATTTTGCGATATCTTGACAAACACCAGGTGTTTCCGTGTTATTGGACAAATGCACGTTTGCGTGTGCGACGAATTTCCGGGCGCGAGACAAGAGAGTCTCGGTATCCGAGACAAGAGAGAGTTCATCTCCCGAGAATTTTACTCACAAGGAAACATATAGGGAATTCGAAAATTGAAAAAATTATGAAACTTTGTGTGAAAGTAAAGTAGTGTCCAGCCGTGATGCAAAACTATTTTTTGTTCGTGCGGAATTGCAGTCTGAGGGGGTGAAATCATCCTTCGAGAAAGAAAATTTTTATTCTTTCATTTTCATTTTTAGCGTATATCTTTTGAAATACGGGGAGGCAATATTGAAAAATTTTTGATGTTCCCTTCGCCCTCCTCCAATTTTGCGAAATCTGGATACACGGTTGCAAAGGGTATGAAACACGCTACAACTTTCATATAAACCATTTTTGCATATGCCTCGTATTTTAAAAGATATACGCTGAGAATGAAAAGGGGGGTTTTTTTTTTTCGAAGGGTGCTTTCACCCCCCAAGATTGGAATTCCGCACGAACAGAAAATAGTTTTGCATTACGAATGAACAATCGCTTTACCTCCACACAAAGTTTCATAATTTTTTGAATTTCCGGCTCCCTTACCTTCCTTGCTGGACACAGATTAATATAGACGTTGCTTGAAAAGTCGCGTATTCTTCAAGTCGCTCTCCGCACAGGTCAAGTCTTTTTCGTTCAGCGGATACACACAGAGTTGCGAAACTCTCGGAAACAAAGAGAGAAGGGAAAAAAAAGAGAAACTGTTGCAATCCTTCCGCCGATGACTGCATGACACAGCAGCTTCAGATGAATCTTGAAAGAGGAAGAGATCGGGTCTCTTTTTGTCGCGTGCTGGACGCGGATTCGGATCGCGGGAAGCTATACGCTGCGAACCGCTAAACAATTACGGCGACCCGGTCGATCGACGAAGCGCGGACTCTGAATTACGGGGCACGGAGTTATTGATTTCGACATCGCGCAGTCGACGAACGGGACAGGTAAAGGTAACGACACGTGCACGGTATTTAGAGACACCGACGGATCCTCCCTCCCTCCCCCTCCCCCCTCTCTCTCTCTTATATATATTTGCACGTGTATATGCACCGTCGGGTCGCCGATATATGTGACGGTCGCGCGCGAGAAAAAAAATAGCCGGCAGGACGGAGGAGCCTGCGGAATACGACGAAAGGGTGTAACGAGCGAAGATGTCCTTACTTAGCCTTCTATTTTTAACCGCCGGCCTCCGGCTCAAACGCGACGCGTCGCGATCTTTGTCCGCTTGAAAGACGCTCTTGCAACAATGAGAGAGCGCGCGTAAGTGCGTAAGTGCGCTCATTATCGGCGCGCGCGCGCTCGTTAGCGAAATTTGTCAGGCCGCGCCTCGACCGCGACGAGCGAGATACGCCGCGTCGTCCTTCCTCGCGCGAGTCGCGCCTCGCAATTTCTCGTTGCTCTCGATGCTCGATTTAGAGAGCGTCTGGAGCGGAATCGGACGATACTGTGCGCCCCGCGCGCGCTATTTTCGTCGTCCTGAGGAGCAGCGGGAACAAAGGAGCGCTCGGACCTAAAAGGTACAAGGCGCACGTGCCCAACCGCGGACGTTCTCGTTACCTTGGCCTTGGAACGTGAGTGAGTATTTCGGTTTGCAGCGTCGAGTACGCGTATACCTGGTGGTGGTCGAAGGTTGAAATACTCGAATCCAGAGGCCAAAGCGCGACGGGAAGCCCGCCGAGTTACGCGCGCGCATGTACTCTTCCGGTATCGGTACTTTCACCTTGCACCGCGTCCGGCTGCGGTCATCAAGACGCCCGAAGACGTGGAGAGGAATTGAAGCCGTTGAATTTACGCGAGGTACGAGCGGTTCCCACACGTTACAATTACGAAGCACGCTCAAGGATAAAGCGCGAGACGCAGTTTGTTCCGCCGGCGAAGTCGGATCGAGGCCACGTGGCGAAAAAAGCAGGAAAAACGGAAGAAACAGAAGGAGCGGGGAGGGAGACTGTAGACTCCTCCGGTGGAACTGCTAAAACTCGTGGATTCGCCAACGAGAAACGCGTAACTCGGTGAGATTTTGGCGAGGAGCAAATTCCACGGACGATCAGAGAGAGAAGAGAGAGAGAGAGAGAGAGAGAGAGAGAAGGAGAGGCGACCTGTTATCAGGCACAAAAGAGACGGAGAAGCGGCTTTCCAACGCGTCCCACTTTTCCGCCCGCCGTTTCCCATGTCGGAGAGGAAAAATCATTCATCGTCGCGCCGGGCGATAACGGGCGGCGTTATCTCGATATCGGAATGGTAAAGAGTATGGCGGTGGCATTTTTGCCCCGGGCTGCGTACGCGCGCGCGATAGACAGAGGGGGAGGGGGAGGGGGGAGAGGAACCACGTGTTATTTTCTCTTCAGGCAGGCAGGTTGATGCCTATCGACTGTCAAATAGCGGCCTGTCGGCTCGGACGCGGCAAACGAATCGCGTCGAGTCACCGCGCGCGATTTCATCGTCCTCCGATCGTCACGCTCATCGGATTGTCACGCGCACCGCCGTGCCCGTGTTGAAAATCAACATCCCCCGGAATTTATGTGGCGGGGCGGCACGCAAGAGTCACGCGCGGAAAACGTGCGCCGCGCGGTCGACGACTTCGAGGCTCTCGCTCGCTCTTCGGCCGACGACGACGGCCGCGAGAAATTTTGAAAGGCGCGCCCCCCTTCGACCGGGGGATGACTGACGTCTCTGAGAAATATCCGACTGATACGGGATGCACGAATTTCGAGCCTTCAATATCGGGTCCAGCAAGCATTCGATGAAAAATTCGTCCGAATGGAAGCTGACGTGAGACACGATCGAGGAGACGAGAGTTTGGGCTTGCGAAGTAACTCGAAAGCCTATTTTCCAACTAGACGATTGGTATCTCGGAAAACACTCGGCTGATCGTCGGACAACGTGGAGTAGATTAGGTTTGTAACACTGAGTATTTTGTGATGAGCGGTCGACGAGGAATTCGCCGAGATAAAAGTTACGTGAGACGCGTGACTCGCAAGATTAAAAGTTATTAAGGATAACTCAAGAGCGTGAATATTTTATTGGCAGCGCGTGGGTTTTTAATTTTTAATACAAAGCATCCCCGTGAGCGGGAAATTAGGTGAAAAAATAAAAATTATACAAGACTACTAAAGAGACAAAAAATTATTCTTACGCATATATAATTTATACAGTAACAATAGCGTATTGTTAGAGGCGGGGAAAAGTCTTCGAAAAGCGCGGATCCTCTTTCTCCTCGGCTCGAGGTAACTCGCGAGACAAAGAATTCGCTCAAATGAGAATTACGCGAGACGACTGAGAGCAATCAAGATTTCAAGGTAGGGAATATTTTAAAGTCGCGCTCTCCGAGCCGAGCCGAGCCGAGCCGAGATGATCGATATCTCGTAGAATACATCGCCAGTCCCGCGTGAGGATTTCAGCTTCTCAAGCCCGAGCACGGTTAAAAGCTGAGAGAGGTAATAAAATAGACGCGAGACAAACAAGGCAAGGAGATTAAAGATTTAAAAACGGCCTGAGTCCCTGACTCACCAGCGCGATGTAAACAGACTTGGCGTTTTCCACGCTGAGGGAAACTCGCTCGCTCGAGTGAGCGAAACTCACGTGTGAGAGAGACAATCGGACGGATGTAACGATTCGCCGCGAGCGTTGTCGAGCGTTCCTCAAGTTTCGAGGCTCGTTTTTATTTCCGACGTTTAAATACCTTCGTAATTACGTAACGCGCGGCGCACCGAGTGGAAGGAAAGTGTGTCACGCGTGGAAGTACATTGTCTCGTAAGAGAGGACGCGGTAAATCTACCACCACGCTCTCCAAGCGGTTTGAATATAAAACAAAAATCACACATACACACGGCACGCACACATCCCACACATCGTGTTCGTGTCTGTCTAACCGCTTAAACACCAATTACCACTTCGACGAGAAATCATCATTAGGCGACTTTATCTCTCTCGATTGTGTCATCCGCTCCGATGAGTCGCTCTCTCTCTCTCTCTCAACGATGACGTTCTCACGTCTCCCGACCGAGCGAAGGATGCGAAGGACAAGCGGAAGCGCCCGGAGACTTCTCTCTCCGAGAAGACCAGTCTGCTGCCGGGAGGAAGCCACGAGGTGAAAGCTCGCGTTTCCGCTCCGGGTGCGCGGCGGGCGGGCGGCGATCGACAGCCGTCAGCTGTCAAATCGCGAGCGATCAATCGCCGAGGCGACGACGCGCGTACCCACGCAGGCCTTCGACGCAGGCCGTGATGATCAATGAAATCGCCAACGTCTCGCGCGTCTCCAGCTGAAGGCGGCTCGACTCGCGCGAGTTACGTCGTATCGGGATTCTCCGAAGGAGCGACGCCGAGAATGCGTGCGTGCGTAGCATCGTCCATCGCGATCGATCGCTCCGAAAATCCGAGCCGTCGCGTCGACGCTCGCGAGCGCTTCCCAACGACGCGAGTTCTCTCACGTCCGAGTCGCTTTGTAGGTCGGGTGACACCCATTAGCTGTCAAAGCGTAAGACGGCGGATTAGCGGGCTTCGATCGGTCGCGCTCGTCTCTCAGCGATCCCGTCGCGCCCGAGCGCGATCGATAAGACGAATACTCGCTCGCGCGAGAGTTCCGTCTCGTCCGTACGCGGCGGTTCGTTGACGCGGCTCGTCGCCGAGAGCGAGGAACGACGCCCGACGACGCTGTATCCGGAGTCGCTCTCTCTTCCTTTCTCCCTCTTTCTTTCTTTCTCTCTCTCTCTCTTTCTCACTCCTCGCTCGCATACACTCACGCTCGCTCGCTCTCTTTCTCTCTCTCTCTCTCTCACGCGCACGGCGTATAGGTTAGGTCAGTGTCGAAGCGAAGAGGAGCGTCTCGCGGACGAGTACGACCGCTGCGCGGCTACTCACAGTCCTCGTCGGCGGACTGGTCCGCTCGGTGATCCAGCGCGGGCGGCGCCAGGCCGGAAAAACTCGTCTCGACCACCTCGATCACGTCCACATTGTCGCCCGAAGCCATTTTGCGTGCGTCGCCTCCGTCCGATCACGCACTGACTCAAGCGCGGCGGCGGTGGTGGCGGCGTCGTCGGCGGCGATGCTGACGGTGGTGGTGGTCGCGATGGTGGCGGTGGCCCCGATGACGATGACGATGACGCTGATGCTCGTCTCCCTGACAGCTGGTCGTGCTGGCTGACTCCTCGGTTGTCGCGTTCTCGCCGACCCGCAGCGGACGCATGTTTCGACGCTGACCTGCTGTGTCTCGCTCGCTCGCTCGCTCGCTCTCGCGCGCGCGCGCGCGCGCGCACCTCGCGCGGCGCCCGGGCGGCTCCCCGCCGTCCGCGATCCTCAGCCGATTATTGCACGACCCGTCGGCCTCCTTCTCGTGCTCCTTGCTGCCGTCGTCGTCGTCGTCGTCGCCGCGACTCACGGCCGCGCGGCATACCGCGTTTCACGCGGCTCTACGTGCACGACGACCGCACCGCTTCCGTGGCTGCGACGGATCTCGCGGCAGCTCTTCCTGCACCTCCGCACGCGTTCCGTTCGTCGTTTATCGACCGGACGGCGACTCGCCGCGACGCTGGCGCCGCCTGACGGCCGGCCGCCGAGCTTGATGCTCGGCGCTCGGGGTCGCGCGTTGACGGGCTTTGAATTTTCGCGCGCCGGAAGTCAAGCGACGGTCGAAGAGTCGGGGAAGTCGAAGCGCGCGGTCGCGAGCGGAGTTTTTCGGGGATTTTGGGAAATCGCTTTCGTGAATTTCGCCGTTGCCTGCCGCCATTGCTCGCTCGGTGGCCGCGCGAGTCGTCGGTCTCTGGCTTGACTCGAAGAGCGCCTCCGGACGCGGGAGTGCGGCTTGGTTTGAAACAGCGGTGATCGCGGTGCGAAGACGCGTGCGGACGCACTAGGATATACAATTGTTCGAATGATATAGGTAAATATGCAGTATAACGCCCTCACCTTGGAACTTTTTGAAATTTTGAAGATTTCTTCAATTTTCGTTTTTAGAAGTCAATTCTACGCATTAAAATACATAAATTTTCAAAATTTTGAAAAGTTCTAAGGTGAGGGCGTTATACTGCATATTTACCGAAATATATTGTTACGTGAAACACAAAGATCTATTTGTATCCCTAGGACGAAAGTGCAAATTTTAAAATCTCGAAGGCAAAGAGTATTTCGCCGATGGGCGGGCGAGGCGAGTTTCTCACATCGCTTGAAGAGAGGAGAGTTTCTTACCGACGTCTCGCGTAATTAGCGATACTGCGATGTGCGAGAGGCACAGATGTCACTCCCTTATCGCCGTAGAAAAAAAAAAAAAGAAAAAAAAAACACATTTATGAACAAATATTCTCGACAATATTCTCTGTATCATTTCAAAACATTTTCTAAACCACGCGCGAGCGATTAATTAAGCGGAGTCGTACCGTTTGGAAAGTAGGAAATTTCGCTCGGTACAAAGTCCGTCCGCTAATGTGACAGCTTATGGCGGAAAGATGTGAAAATTTATGGCAAGAAGATGTGAAAATTTCGGCGTCTCCTCAAATGCTCCTTTCGACGGACGGAAATATTACTCATACACATTTGTTCGAGGGCTAGTCCTTTGAATGCACAACAACAGCGTACTCGGTAAGTATTTACTGACACCGTCTGACACAATTCCGCATGCGATCGTGCGATCGCGGAATTACTCCGCAGCCGCATCATGGCGTGGAAATTGACACGACTCCTGGACAGGATATGGTTGCAAAGACTTTTGCTACTGAGCATCGGCGGTGTGATCGCGCACGAGATCCTGACCGGCTACGTCGACTACAACAATCAGGTTCGTATCTCCGAGTCCTTCGAGACTGATTCAAAAGCGGTCCGCTCTTAAAGACACCAAGAGTGTCGTCGAAACAGCACGAGCGCGTCGTAATCTCTCTTGAGAAAAGACCGCGCGCATTTCTCGCCACAAACGCGTGGAGAAACGCGCTCGAAGCTTCGCCGCGCGGAAGCGACGTGACTTCGCGCCGGACGAAATGGCCGCGAATTCCGGGGGATAACGACGAGGCTAATTGTCTCCTTGGTAAATTAACTGATGGTTCAGTCATACGTCTGTCTTCGTTTAAATTGAGGGAGAAACAAAAGGCCGGTTGTTCCAACTTCTCGGTAAATTAACTGATAGTTAAGGGAACTGGAGGATCAGATTGCTGAAAAATCGTGCTTGTTTTTGACAATATTTTGCGATGAACTGATGAAATGTGCAAGAATGAAAATTTTAAATATATTTATACGACATGTGAAGAGTAGAAAAATTTTGTTTATTAACAAATACTCATATAAATATACGATATATATATATATAGCTGAAATATACTCTCCTTTTTCTTTCAAATTGTCAAATTTTGCAGTAATATCTCGGCTCTCGGTGGTTCGATCAGAGCGAATTTTAGCTAGAAATCTTAAGGAGGCTTATCATTATCCGGTGAAGCACTGCAAAAAGTGGAACAATAAAATTTCGAGATAAAACGCGTTTAAAATTTAAGTGGACGTATATTTATATGAATATTTGTTAATAAACAAAATTTTTCCACTCTTCGTATGTTATATAAATATATCAAAGATTCTCATCCCCGCACATTTATTCAGTTCGTCACAAAATATTATCAAAAGACAAGCACGATTTTTTCAGTAGTAATCTGACCCTCCGGTCCCCTTGAGTCACATATTTATCTTCGTTCTTTTTTTCCTTTAATTTAGACAAAGACAGACATACGAGTTAACTGTCAGTTAACTTACCAAGAGATTGGAACAACCGGCCCTAAATCGATTGTTCGTTTGGTCCGGCCGGGAAACAAATCGCGCGCGGGCGCGCGCGCGCGAGGTCAGTCACGAGCGCCGCGTGTATCATTAATCCATTATGTCGGCCGCGCTCATCACGGCACACATCGATCGCGCGCGAAATGCTCGGTATAAAACGTTTCGCTTAATGTACACCCCGACAGACGGGAGATTTATGCCGCGGGACGTGTAATTAATTATCAAACCGCCCGGCAAAACTTCCGCGACTCGCGCGCGATGCCTGTTGCCGCTCCTCGTCTGTCTCCCGTGCTTCCGCGTGCGAAATTGATGGCGGCGGCTCACTTTCGATGAGACCGGCCGTCCCGGTCCGGAGTGCCGGGCGATTTTTCAAGCTGGCCCACGGTTGGAGGTTGAGCCGCGCAAATGACCCGTGCAGGTCTCGAGAGTGGAAGCTCACTCGAGAGACCGCCGCGCCGCTGGAAAATGCACGATCGGCACGATGACGAAACTATCGGCCACTCTCGAGCCCTCTCGATCTTTGCGCGCAAAAATCCCGAGGACGAAGCGCAGTCGTCGGCGAGCGAGCGGCGCTCTCTGATTGAATTGCTCGCGGCTTTATTCAGCCGCTCGGCTCAGCATTGTTGCAACGCTGATCGTTATCGATCGCCCGATCGGCCGCGCGACCTTCGGAGCGCGGAGGAGATCATTCGCGACCTACTCCGCGCTGACCTTAATTCATTTGGCAAAAGGACGCGGTAGACTTTTGTTTCCCCCTCCCTCCCCCCCCCACCCCCGACCCCGCCCGGGTTTCGTCCGCTCGGTAAGCAGGCCACTTGCCACGCAACGTCGATTCCGCGGCTCGGACGCGCGGGGAAACTTTAATTACTCCGCCGGCGAAACGAACTTTGCGATACGCTAACCTTGTGTCTCTTTTTCTCCCCCTTCTTCGCTCCCCCTCTCCCTCTTTCTCTGCGCGCTCTAAGGTGCTCGAGTACACACACGGTCGAACTGCCGGGCCGGGGAATCCGACGAGAGCACCGGAGAGGAGTAACGCGCGGCTCGTTGCTCCGCTTGGAGCTGTGCGTCATCTGTGAGAGAGACGCGAGAAGACGAAGAACCAGCGAGCGAAGAACAGAGAGGAAAGTGCGGATTTCACAGTTCCGCGAAGGAACGCTCGCGCTGCTGCGAGATTCGATTTATTACAGCTGACGATATTGAGATAAATTTCAGATCGCCGCGTCGGTTGCATCGGGCTGCCTGCAACGGGAGGAGCCTCTCGCTTCCGGGATTAAATTTCTATGCTCGACGCGGTTGAGGTACATTTGCAGATCGGCACTTTCGAGCCCTCGCGCGCCTCGAGGGCTCTGCGCGACGGCTGCCGCCGAGATGGAATTTACGTACGTTGAATGGTATCTCTCGCTGCGACATTTTCGGCATAACAACGGCGCGTTTGTTACGCGATCTCCTCGTCGTCGTGCGTGGCCCGGTTAATTATGTCAAAGTAAAGTCCGCGAGGCAGGATATTTCGGCGCTACGCTGGCGTGCCTCGCTCCGTACACAACACGCGTCGCGCTCATCCCGACGAACGCGCACCGCGTGCGTCAACCGACACCCGCGGTGTTTATCACACCCGATCGAGCACGCGCGTATGCTTAACACTTTGCCGGCCGCTTACTTCTCGCATCGCCTTTATCGCTGCCGCCGGCGAATTTCGCGCGGATTCTACCGCTCGCCGACGGCGATATTAAAGAATGTCAAGAAAAGACAATCGGGATAGTTAAAACAGAAGCATAGTGGAAACATTGTTGCCGCGCTGAACCGAAGTCACGCGTACGTGACAGCGGCCGGCAAAGTGTTAAATGATTACATTGTACACCGCGCGCGCGTCGTCTGCTTCCGCGCCCCTCACCTGCTTCCGTCGGCGAGCGTCGCGCGAAATGGCTCGTCGAAGACGAACACGACCTCGAGGAGACGACGAGAGTTTCCTCGTCGAGAGGCGAGTGCGGCCGCAAAAAAAAAAACGAGCTACCCGAAGCGCGGATTACGTCATCCGCGATGCGTAGGCGTGCACTAATTGACGCACGTGGTCGCACGTCGAGCGAACGAGAGTTGCGGAAACACGGCGCGATCGTTGAGAGGAGAAACTGCCGACGATCGCGGCAAGTTTTACGTTATTATCGATCACCTCGAGAGAGCTTGATCGTCGTCGCGCCGAGATGCGTCCAACTTTCCGCCACCTGGGAGGAGGGACGCGCTCCGAAACGGACACGCGGCTCGATTCTGAGCCGCGTGAAATGCGATTCGCAGCGAGCTGTCGCTGATAACGGCGGGTTCATCGTCGGGTCGTCGGCGTCGGCGTCGGCGTCGGCGGTGATCTCCATCCGCACGCTCGGCAGTTTCCCTCTACGGTGTACGGCCGATCTCTGTCTGTACGCCACCTGTAACGCGCAGCACTCTGCACTCTGACGCGAGCAGTCGCGCGTGTTTTTATCAGCGTGCGGCGGTCGATGCGATTCGCGACCACGCGAACTGTGTGCCTGTCGCGCGTCTGCCGCTGTGCAGCCGGAGCTGTTCGGCAAGGAGTTCCTCTTCGCTGCCGGCGATTCTGGACACGACAGCCGGCCAAAGACGTCATCGTCGAGGGAAGTTTCCGAAGTCTGACCGGCTGCTCCATTGTCGTGGACTCCGCTTGCGAAGTCGCTTGCGAAGTTCGGTGTAGATATTGACTTTCTGTGTACCTTCCATCGCGTCTTGATTCGAGTAAATTTATAATATATGCTAAACATGTTTCGTGCGGACTGGGATATAGTGAATAAGAGAGTGTGCACATATTTGCGAACGAGTGGTTGCTGCGATTCGAGGCCTGGAGGTATTTGATGATGATAGTTACGGATCAGTTGCGTTCTTTCGCGCTCGCGAATAATGTAAACGGAAGAGCCGAAAGGAACGTGGAAGATCTAGAGATCGTAAATGGGGTAATATACACTGCTTGGTTAGGGATTGAGGGAATTTCCAGCAGGATTTCAGCTCCTTTACAGTTTCTTATCGAATGAATTACGAATTCGCCGAGTGTCTGTTGTAATTCAATCGAGGAGCACATTGTTACTCTATATTACGCACCGTGCGAGACATTAGACTTGATAAAGTAAAGCGCGTGCGTACGTTAGCGCATAAAGATATCAAATTTCGTAGTCTTGGCTGTAAGACTCCTCTCACGGGGCTTTGTACAGAGGAGAAGAGACGACGATCCGATTCGTGCGAAGGTACCGGACCTCCGTCGCGAGAATAAATTTACGGTTTTCAGGGCGAATTGCGAGCGGCGAAGGAAAACCTGAGCCGGAAGTCTTATGCATCGATCTGAACAAAGCTAACATCTGCCCGACAAAAAAGATCCCGCAATGGGATAGATTTTGTAAGAAACCTAATGTATCGTATTATATTATATTGTACTTTTTATATCACATATTGTATTAAAATGCAAAAATAAATACAATTAAATATAAGCTCAGTCTCATTTCTTTGTGTTCTCTCATATCCCATCTGACAAAATGTAAAAAATTGGAAAATTTCGGCCGGAAATTCGTGATACCTCTTTGCACATTATATCACCCTGATATAAAATCTCAAATACGGAGAAAAGCAAATTTCCAATTCCCCGATTTTATAACAGGAGAATATAATCATCGAGGAGGTATTCGAGTTCCCCGCCAGAATTTGGCGTTACCTCTTTGGTCATCATGTTATCCTAATACAAAATCTCAAATACGGGAAAAGCAGAATTTTCAAGTCTTTCCAATTTCTCGATTTTGTAACAGGAGAATATAATCATCGAGGAGGTATTCGAGTTCCCCGCCAGAATTTGGCGTTACCTCTTTGGTCATCATGTTATCCTAATACAAAATCTCAAATACGGGAAAAGCAGAATTTTCAAGTCTTTCCAATTTCTCGATTTTGTAACAGGAGAATATAATCAGCGAGGAGGTATTCGAGTTTCCCGTCAGAATTTGGCGTTACCTCTTTGGTCATCATGTTATCCTAATACAAAATCTCAAATACGGGAAAAGCAGAATTTTAAGTCTTTCCAATTTCTCGATTTTATAACAGGAGAATATAATCATCGAGGAGGTATTCGAGTTCCCCGCCAGAATTTGGCGTTACCTCTTTGGTCATCATGTTATCCTAATACAAAATCTCAAATACGGGAAAAGCAGAATTTTCAAGTCTTTCCAATTTCTCGATTTTATAACAGGAGAATATAATCATCGAGGAGGTATTCGAGTTCCCCGCCAGAATTTGGTGTTACCTCTACAGTCATCATGTTATCCTAATACAAAATCTCGAATATGGGAAAAACAGAATTTCCAATTTCTCGATTTTATAACAGGATAATATAATAAATGAGGAGGTATTTGAATTTCTCGCCAGAACTTCGTGTTACCTTTTCGATCATTATATTTTCCTGTTAAAAAATGTGAAACTTGTGAATCCAAGAGTTTTGTATCAGGAGAATATAATGAACAAGGAGGTAGCTTGTGTTTTCGACGGTGGTGGGGACTTACATAATACAAATAAAAAAGATAGATTTATAATTTAACAATTTTTATTGACGGTTTAATGCAATAGAATACAATACAATATAATATACTACAATATAATATAATACTTATATTAAAATATAATACAATATAATATAATGCGTTATAATACAAAGCGATATAAAATAATATAAATATGATGTAACAAATATAATAAAATTTAATAAATATAATAGATATAATAGATATAATAAAATATGTATAAAATAATACAATATAATACAACAATGCGCAGTGTAATAAAATATATTACGTTTGGAAGTCCCTCAAACGCCACTGCAAACGTGGTCCGTTTCGTCGTCCGCTGGCGTTGTTTTGTCCGCGTGAGTGTAGCGGAAAATTCACTCCGACACTGAAAGATATGAAAATTTTAAACGATATTTTATTATTTGAACGGTACTTTCGCGGTGTATACTGGGGCTTAACTCGCGAATTCTAAGGTATAGACGTCAAAGTCGCGATAATTCGTGAAATGCAAACAGATGGCACTTTATGTGTTTTCGTCAGTTTGAAATGTTTACATGTTACGTCCGCGGATTATCTATTTTGTGATAAGATCTTGTGATAATTTACAAGAGCGATAATTCGCATACAATTGTTTGAAATAATCCGCGGTTAAAGTTTTAGATAAAGCGACGGGGCAGGGGAGGAGATTAAATGAGACATAAGGCGACATTTATAAAATAGAGAGAAATAATGTGATTTACAGATCGACGCGTGCAAATTTAAAAGTAACATCGACGTGACAATTCCAAAACTGACGGTTTCACGCCGCGGGATTAAAGGCAAGACGGAAAACTTGCTTTCGCGGCAATTTACGAATATCGGCGAACTCGTGCTTCGGACGAGTTGTCGATCGATTCATGTCGTCGAATGCATCAAACACACACATACACACAAACACACAGCATATAGACTTCACCATCGTCGCGTGTAGTAAATCAGAGCGGATTGGAGTAGCGTATGAAGTTGACTCTTGAGCGATAAAATTGTTTGCTGAAAATCAAGTGCGATGAGCGCGGAAAGGTGACAGGGAGAGGAAATGTCTCCGAAAGCGGGGTGATTTCATCAACTCGCGCGCGTCACGGAGACAGAGAGAGAGAGAGAGAGAGAGAGAAAGAGAGAGAGGATCTCCTATAGAAACTATACGCGCCGCGCATATAATCACCTGTGATATCGAACAGTCCTCTTCACGACGGAAGCTGCCTCTATAAAGTCTCGGCTTCGTCGACGCCACGTGCTGTGTCGAAAATCACGGTAGACTTCACTTCTCGATCGATCGCCGCTGGCAAACGACGGGTAAAGCTGTGCTGTTATCTGCTACTCGCATTCTGATATTCGACTTATTACACACGCGATCTGCTACAGGTGAGGCCGTGCGCGAAACAGAACACGCTAATATATCCGATATGACAGCCGAGAAGAAGAAACCTGAACAAACAAACTCGAGTGAGTACGCCGTCTAAATGTTTGCCAGAACAGCTTTTACCGCTATAGATTTTCAGTCGAGGAATCACTTCTAGTAAGCGAAAACTCGGATCGTGAGCCGCGAATTGCCCGGTATATTCTATATTGTGTTTCCCACCCCCCTTTCTCTCTCTCTCTCTCTCTCTCTCTCTCTCTCTCTCTCTCTCTCTCTCTCTCTCTCTCTCTCTCTGTCGGACATCGGACAATCGGACTTTAAATATTCCCTTAATTATGGAATTAGATTCCCTTAATTACTCAGTGATATTTTTTACCTTGGCACATCGGCACTTGTGCTCTTCTCATCAGGTTTCTGACGAGGTATATTTTTTATTGAAAATCACGATATACGCGGCTTGTTGAATCAGAATAGAGAGAAAGAGAGAAAGAGAAAAAGAGAAATAGAGAGAGATAGAGAGAGAGAGAGAGAGAGAGAGAGAGGGAGAGAGAGAGAGAGAGGGAGAGCGATAATACTGTTAAGTCATACATACTCGATAGTCGTGATCGAGGATGCGCCGAGCGCGAAAATCGCCGACTTCGAGACGGCGATCACCGCCGCCGGGACCGGCAAGTTCCAGTACTTCCTGGTTCTCGCGATTATCCCGGCCTCCTGGGCATCCAGCGTGGACACCGCTAATATGTCGATGATACTCGCGTCGGCGGAGGGTGACCTGGGCCTGTCTCTGTTCAACAAAGGGCTGCTGAACGCCATCGTCTATATGGGTGAGTGAGACGCACGCGACGTCTCCGGTGTCGTTGAGTGCGACCACTTGAGCATCCTGCGATAATAACGTAGAGATTATCAGAGCGCGCGCGCAGGGTGCATGGGCGCATGATCGATTCAACGTGCGAAACGTGCCGTCAGGTATGGTGCTGAGCGGTTTCATATGGGGATACCTCGCGGACGTGAAGGGGAGGAAGAAGGTCATACTGTACGGCTACCTGGCGGACGGCGTTTGCAACGTGCTCGCGGGTTTCTCGCAGAATTTCGGCACGCTCGTCTTCTTCAAGTTCCTCAGCGGCATGCTGTAAGAGTCGAAAGAAAACAAAAGAAACGATCGCGCGTTTCGACGCGTCAACTAGATTAACAGCCCATCAAGTCCATCCTTGTCTCTCGCTGGGCTTGTCCCCCCCTTCGGACAGCGAGATAACGATCCCCGCGAGATCGTCATTTTAGCTAGCTTCTTATCGTTCTCCACGCTCCATTTCCATCTGTAATTTTTTGCATTCCGCCGGTTTATCGGCTTACACGTTTACGAGCGAATAAACTTGAATTCATGTCAGCGTGAGCGGGCCGCACGCGACTCTCATGGCGTACTGCACGGAATTCTACGGCGACAAGGGCAGGGCGAAGATTCCGATCCTCGTCGGCTTCTCCGTCCAGTTCGGATGCGTCGTCAACGCAGGTAAATCGCATCGCGCGCGATCAAGCTCGAGCAAAAGGCGGGAACGGTCTTTACGACGAAGCCCCGGCTTAAGAGAATGCTCGCTTGCTCGCTCGCAAAAATTGTCCCCGACGGGAGTTTCGAGAGAGCAAAAAAGATCCGCTCGCTGGAAATTTGGCTCGCTCGCAAAGTGCGACGCCGCACAGATGACATTCTTTGGTTGAAAATTCTCCAGAGACCTGACTTTCCAACCGATCATCGACACCAATGGAGATGAGAGGTTGATCCTGAATAAATTCCGAAGAGATCTGTCTTGCCAAAATTAAAAAAAAAAAAAGATTTTTTTCTCGAATTACTAGCCCTAAAGGAGGAAAAATTATCGCGTTAAACGCGAGAAACTTGTGAAATACTCATTATTCGACACTTATTTCTATCTAATAGCGGTGCACATTGGGTCATGCTAATTGGGTCCCGACGATGATTACCTTCTATCTCCGTATGATGGCTTGTGAGCTGAGGTTTATATCCCTTTGGGCTTTGGGCTCATGGACCGTCAGCTTAGGGTTGGATGTTTTGCTCAATGTTCTCCATGTGTTTACTTATTGGCTCCATATGACTTAATGCTTTCTTAACGTGAGCTGAAATGATGAGCTTTGAAATTCTGAGTTTTCTAAAAGATCATTATAAGCTCCGGAGTCTTATTTAGTATTCATCAAGTATCCATTCGGTATCCATAGGCTCGAACCCATTGAGGTCGAACCCAAGACCCTATACTTTAAACGATAAACTTTTAAGACGAACCCTAAAGCCATGAACCCTGAACCGATAATTTCCTCAAAATTTCGGCTAGACAGATCTCTTTGGAATTTATTGAAGATCAACCTCATCCATTAGTGTCGATGATCGATTGGAAAATCAGATCTCTAGAGAATTTTGAACCAAAGAATGTCATCTTCTGGCCTCACTGGGTCCAGAAAGGGACACACCAAGGGACTCGTGTTAAACTTGTCTTGCGCTCGCGACCAGTGATGGCCTGGCTGGTGGTGCCTCAGCCGTGGTCGATCGTCCTTTGGGACGGCGCCTTTGTCTACAACTCCTGGAGGATCTTCCTCTCGCTCTGCGGAGTGCCGACCATGATAGGCGTCCTGTGCCTCTGCTTCTTCCCGGAGAGCCCCAAGTTCCTCATGACGCAGAATCGCAACGAGGAGGCGCTCGAGGTGTTCAAGCGGATCTACAGCACAAACACCGGCCTGCCCAAGGACAGCTATCCTGTAAGCGCCTGTACAAGGATCCTGTATATGGATCCCAATTGTCGCGTGCGTAAAAAGGAATAAGTTTTTCATCGGTAGATTGGCGCCTTGGGCGACGTGAATTTGAACAATGTGACTGCGGAGCGATCGCTGGAGTCTCAGGGAGATGCCAAGTCGTCCTTCAAGGATGGCATCCGACAGATGACGCCCATCCTGTCGAAGCCGTACCCGGCGCGTATCTTGCTGCTCGTCACCGTGCAATTCGGCGGGATGCTCTGGTGAGTGCTGCACTCGATCGGGCAATGATTTACGTAGGAACGCGATGTAGGCCCGCTTAACGTATCGCGCGGATTGGTACCGCCGCCTTGGGAATCGGGATCGAGCCGGCCGTTATTATTAGTTGCACAATAATAATCGGCGCATCGCCGCGAGGTGATGATCGCGCCGTCGAGGTGTCGTAAATCAGAGTTATCAGAGTGGCGAGTAGCAGAGCGCGCGATAGTAGAGCGGTAACGTGTGAGTTACTCCGCGATTACTCGCGCTGGAATCGCGCTGGAGCTTTTTACGAGATGCAATAAGACGAGTGACTCGTCGTAAAAAATTTTAAGACCGCGTTTGGTCGTATAAGTGCCGCGTTCATGTTTGAATGACAGACCCGAGGATTTACGACTTTATCAGCTCGCGCGCGCAAAAGAGAGAGAGAGAGAGAGAGAGAGAGAGAGAGAGACAGACAGAGCTGCACGTACCACTACTATACATCTGCTGCGCGATGTTCCGACTGTTAACTTGAGATATACTCCCATTATCTGGATACACATCGCCGCGCGGATGTCGCATCGCGGCATCTGCTATCACGTGTTCTACTAAATTCTTCTACTAAATTAACGCGGAATGTCAGCCGCGCGGAGAGACGATAACAAAAATAAAACTGAATACACACACGCATCCTCGTCCTCGGCTCAGAGAACTTGCGCGCCGTCAGACGCCTACTAAAATCTTCTACTAAATTAAGGGATGTCAGGTTCACGCGACGCGATAAAGCGAAAATAAAACGGCGCCGTTTGTCGGCTTAACCCGCGGCGCGATGCGACAATTAAATACCCCTTTTATTCTCGGAAGCATTTATCGAAGTCGAGGCGGGAAAATTTTCCACTGTCCCGGCGCGCGGCCGGGGAGCCGGATTTCGACGGCTTGATAACGGCGAAAATAAGCGCGCGAGCGCCGCGATTCGAGGACGGCGCGAGAGAGATCGCGCGGATTAACGGCGCTGCGGCTCGCGCGGATCGGTCGTCTCCCTCTCCCTCTCCCTCCCCCTCCTCTCTCTCTCTCTCTCTCTCTCTCTCTCCCTCTCTCTTCGCGACGGAAACGGGACCATGTATCATATATACCTCGCCCGTTCGATTATTGTTCGAGCATGTCATTTCGACGATGCACTCCGGCGTTTATTTACAACGCCTGGCCCGGCTGCTTTTCATACGGCTTATCTTTGACTGGCGCGCACGCGCGCGCCGTGACGTTGATTAATATTGACGCGCCACCGTTATTTGTTACGCTTGCAGCCTCAACACCTTGCGCCTCTGGCAGCCGCAGCTCTTCGCGACGATCGAGAACTTTAAGAATCTCGATACCAACGTGACTGATCCCACCTTCTGCGAGATACTAGATATTTCGACGTCGCTCGACGCAGCCAGGACCGTCGCCGTCGCCGCCGCCCCCGCCGCCGCCGCCGCCGCCACCGACGCGACGACGGCGCCGAGCATCTCCGAGAACGTAAGACGACGCGACAATGATTATTGTCGCGCTTGGTGATTACTGTCTGTGATTGGAGCATTCTTTTAGATTCCTCATAGACCCGAAAGTATTTACCAATCAGGAGCGAGAATCACTAAGCGCTCACTCTGATCACTTTGTTCTGCTGAACGCAGCTCGTTGGCAACAACGAGTGCGCGCGCTCGCGATTTTAACGCGCGGCTTCTTCTTTTCCAGAGCGTCTCCGAGTCCATGTACACCGACACCATCATCGTGTCGAGCTCGTCGAGCGTGTTTATTCTCCTCGCCAGCGTCCTCGTCAACTTCCTCGAGCACAAGTACCTCTTACGTGAGTCTGTTTCTTCTCGCTCGTCTCGCGCGGCTCTGCCGATTTTTATTAACCGCGTCTGCGCGATTTCCTACGCCGCAGTCGTCAGCTACGGATGCGCGCTCGTCTGCCTCATCTCCCTCATCTGGGCCACGAACACGTTGGTCATCCTGGTGCTCACGTGCATGTTCGTCGGACTGCTCAGCGAGACTTTCAACGTCGTGGTGGGCGCGACCGTCCTGCTCTTCCCCACATCCTTGAGGTTCGTCACTTGTACTCGCGAGACGCTTACCCGTACCGTTAGCCGTTAGGCGTACGTTACACGTTATTGAATTTCGCCTTCTCTCTCGCCAGAGCCATGGCGGTCAGCATGGAAATGATAGTGGGCAGGATAGGATCCATGATTGGTAATCTCTTGTTTCCGGTCTTGCTCGCGCACGGCTGCGTGGCGCCCATCATCAACCTGGCGTGCTTCACCTTACGTACGTATCGCGGCTCTCCTTTCGCCAAAGGTTCATTTTGCCAGGTCTCACAGTAAGGTGACACCGATAGCGTAAGCGATATCATCATTTGCATCTTTAGAAAACAAAAAGAAAAAAAAAAAGAAACAGAAAAGCTGAAGAGCGCAATATCCCTCCGTAGCGACAAAATGCCAATGTGGTTTCGTATAATTTCATCAATTCCCACGCACTTTGTGCGTCAGAGCTCTTCGCCGTTACTTCCCTCCTTGTAATGTCCAGCGATGGATTCTAAAGATCGCCGTCGATGACATCGCTTAGCCTTAGCTCGAGATCGGAGCGAAATCGCGACGCGGGGAAGCCCTGCGCGACTGTCATCTCACGGCTTTCAGTGTGCATCATCCTCACGTGCTTCCTGCCGAGCACGAGCAAGCACGCGGTGTGAGGAGCGTCGTCTGTGTCGGGCAAATTCGAGGGCAAACACGAGGAAGAGGAGGAAGAAGAGGAGAAGGAGGAACCAAGGCGTGAGGAGTCTGGAGAAGGACCGAGAACGACGACGAGAGAGGAGAAACAAGAGAGAAGACCGACGACACCCTCAAGCGCGTGCTCGCACGCACTTTTCACAGGCCGCCTTTCCGTCTTCCTCGCCGCGAAGATGCTCCGGCGCGACGCCGCGGGCCGGAGCATCCCCGGAGGACTCTCCAAGGACCTGGATCGAAGCGCTCTATCGCGAGCTATGATCGAGCCCGTATGAGGGCGGACAATGGTCATGCATATACATGCATGCAACACACAACGAGAGAGACCGCACGAGACCTTGAGTTTCACTTTCGACACATCCTGGAGAGCCCTCCAGCCTTCACCTACATGCTCGCTCTCCTCTATCCTCGCCGCGTGCGTGGACGCAGCTCTATCTCGGGATCTCCGCTCGGCCGATCGGCGCGCGATCCAGCGGGTGTCCCGACGCGTGCGCGCGGCGCACGCGAGAGCGTCCGCCCCGCTCGCCGGCGGACGAGCCGAGGAGCGATCGGCCCCGAAGCACGAGCACACACACGTTGTTTCCTTTCTCTTTCCGGTTCCCCCGGAGTACGATCGGCCGCAAATTTCCTGCCGACCGCGCGGCTCCCAGCTGTCTTACGTACGAGCGAGCGAACGGGTCGCGGCGGAAACTTTCAGCATCTCACGCTCATAGGATTCGTGCGAGATGTATATGTTTATGTATTATATATTCCGATACGTGGTATGTATGTAGGGTGCTAAATTTCAAACGTAGCAGGTAAAAAATCTCGAAAACTATGAAAGATATTAAGAAAAGCTGAGACACGTGCACCATGATTTCGAAGGGGAAAGAGAATGGCATTGTCAGTGTTTCATTTGGGGGGCGTTTTCAAGGTCAGTTGAAGGTCAACTTGATTTTTTTAAATAGGAATCCTCATTTTTTACTACATCATCTTTTTCTACTGATTAATTTGAGCAAGTTTTGTCCGAAGCACTTTTTCATTTGCCTAATATTTTTTGAAATATTTAAGGGAAACTTGGTGACTTTTTCAACAGTTAACTTACGATATCTCGCTGATTATTCGTCGAAAGAAAAAGTAGTATTAGACTCTTTTACTTTATTTACTATCAAGAATATATTACTGTAATAGTGCCCTAACTTTTGTTAATTTAATAATTTTGAAATTTCCAGAGGTCGATAAATTAACAAAAGTTAGGGCACTATTATAGTAATGTGTTCTTGATAGTAAATAAAGTAAGAAGGTCCAATACTATTTTTTCATTCGACGAATAGTCAGCGAGATAGATGAGATAGATGAGATAGCGTAAGTTAAATGTTGAAAAAGTTTTGAAGCAAGCATTTCTTAAAATATTTCACAAAATATTAGGCAAATGAAAACATGTTTCAGACAAAAGTTGTTGGAATTAATTGGTAGAAAAAGAAGATATAATAAAAAATTGAGCTTTCTATTTAAAAAAATTAAGTTAACCTTGAAAATACTCTCCAAATAAAAAAACTGATAATGCCATTCTCTTCCCCTTTCGAAATCATGGAACACGTGTTTTAGCTTTTTTTAATATCTTTCATAATTTTCGAGATTTTTTACCTGTTACGTTTGAAACTTAGCACCCTGTATATATATGTGTGTTTATATATTGTATATATCAGGATGTGTGATTTGTACGTTTAGAAAACTCTCACTGTTAGACGGGGTAGTCGCGACGAATCGGCGCTGCTAATCGGCGCCGGGCTGAAGGAACTGCGATGCGTCACGCCGAGCTGCACGCGCGCGACTGAGAGACGCCCGTTTCTACCAATCCTGGTGAATCCTTAACCGCCCGGTTGTTCCAACGGTCGCATCCGTCGTTGATTTGAATTGGCGAATGCGACTGGCCCGGCGGAATTTCCGACGGAGTAATCAGCCGGCTGGACTTTGGAACCGCGCTTGGCAGAAACGGGGCGAGAGTCACACGAATAACTAAGCTGCGCACATGAAGTTACGCGAATAAACGAGAAGAAAAAGAAAAAAATGTCCTCGGACGAGCGTATATTCACAGCGGGAAACGGGCGTTTCCTGCGGCGCCGCGCGTGCTTCTCGCGCGGCACGCACCGCCGCAAGTTGACCCGCGATTTCATCACGGCGGACGCGGCGAAACGCTCGTGTCGGGCGACTGCGATTCACCGTGTAACCGTGTTACAAATAATCTTTGTACCACGGTATCCTTGTACCATAAACGACTCTTTGTGGAAGCAACGCGCTTAATTATTACCCTCCCGGCCCAGATCCCGTTCGGCGCGGCGTCTCGTTTGACACGCCGGAAACGAGACGGAGCTCGTTTCGAATACGCTCGTTTATCCTATCGGATAAAAAATTATCCTGGTCCGGCGATCGCCGGATAGCGATCGCGCTCGCGTGCGATGAAATCCGCGGCGAGAGTTCGTTAACGAAACCGCCCGATCCGTCCCATCGAAGCAGCAGAAGCGCGCGCCGCGAGCGGCGCTTCAAAATGCCCGCAGCTTCCTACGGTGTTCCATTGTAAGGGCGCTCCGCGCGCGGCGCCTGGGACCGCATTCCGCATAAATTGCGGAACGGAGCTATGCGGCCGCGCGCGCGCATGCGCACACACACGAGCGCGGTCGCGTTGGAAAATACGTGTCCGCGCGGTTCTTCCGCGGCGCGACTCGACGTCTACATTAAAAGCCGGCACGTACTACCTGTGAGCCGTCGGCGCTCGTTGTATTCCGACAATGATCCGCACCGCAACGACTTCATCGCGACTGACACACACGTACTTATTCACATGTGTGTGTGTGTGTGTGTGTGTGTGTGTGTGTGTACGGGGGCACGCCGCGGTGGTCGCGTGATCGAAGGCGTCGCGGGGCGGCTGCGGCCGCTGCGCCTTCGCACGGCGTGCAAGTACAATGGCGGCGCATTAGCATCGTTAATGGCCTGCATTTTGTATAATATACAAAGAAAAGAGAGAGTTCTCGCCCGCCCCGCCTGTGTATTCCAATTAATACGGCCGCTTAATGGCGAGCCCGAGCGTGAGCGCGGAGCGTGAAGTGGAAAAAGCGCGAACCGGTCTTTATCTCCCTCTTTCTCTTTCTCTCTCTCTCTCTCTCTCTCTCTCTCTCTCTCTCTCTCTCTGCCCGCCGGCGGTCTTTTCAATTTGAAAAGCCTGCGTTAATTAATACACTTAATTAATCGGCAACTGAATAATCTCGACCGGCGGCGCGGCTGAACCCGCGAGCACTCGCGCCTTTTCGCTCCCCCCCCCCCCCCGCCCCGCCGTTGATCGTTCGCACACTCTCTAGCGAAACGGTCCGAGTCAATTTTCTTTCCCCCGTTTTTTTCTCGATGGAATCCGAGCATCGAATAGTCACATTTGGCAGCGGCTCTGCTCGTGAACTTATGGCAACGGTGACCTGAGTGACAGCACGCGGTGCAAACATTTGCCTTTTCATGATGCTTTTATCCGACAGATTATAGATAGAATTATGTTATTATAAAATGATTATAAAATTGTAACAAAGGATTTATCAAATTCTTATGCGATAGACGCGAATGCTTATTTCTTTCTTCGCCTACCGTTACGCAACTGTGAAACTTTGGCTGTTGCCGTAATTAGAGGTCGCGCAAGCTCAACCGAGCAATGGCTTCCGTTGTGAGCGCGCGTTTCAATGAGGAGCTCGGAAGCTCACCGGAAAAGAATACGTTCGAGCCGTTTTCAAACCTACGCACTCGGAGAGTAATACTGTTATCGAGAGGCGAGCTAATCGAGCCGCCTCGGATGCATTCATAACGCCGCGCCGCGCCGGGCGGGACAAAGACGGACACGGCTGCTGAAGAATGAGCCTCGCTCAATCGAGCGGGAAGTCACTCTCGTGAGAATCACTCCTCTCGCTCCTCTCTAAAATCGTTCTTTCCGTATGGACAGACACGAGGTCGTCGTCGTATCGCGATTTCACGGCCGCTATTCCGCTCGATCGCTATTCCGCCGTGGGTACCGCCGCGGCGAGACAATCGCATCGGGATCGGCATCGATCACGATACTCGGCAAATGTTTGGAACTACTATATACCGAAAAGCAACCGCGGTCCTTTTCGTGACAATCAACGACGCACAAGCTGCGAAAATATATATGTACTAGCTTTTTAAGGCGCAGCTTAAAGTTTTAAAGTAGGAAAAAGCTCGGGCAGGGAAAAGCTCTATTTGCTCTACATCCAGTTTGCAGGCCAGTTTTTCTCAGAGCAGAAACCTTAAACTTGTTTCTTAAAAATTCTTGTGATTATCAAAATTGTCAAAAAAATCAAATATGTACATATATGTTAATTTTTTATAAAAGCATATAATATACGGAAAAAAAAATTATAATTTATAAAATATTACGTATATACTTCTTCTTATTGGTTTCGACACGATTACTATATGAAAACGGTCGACGGTTTTTAACGCAGTGGCATTTAACCGGCACTATTACAAACTCGCTCGCTTGTTCACGGAAACTCTCTGGGATTCTCAGCGAATCCGAAGCGACGAGGGATTTCCGTTGCTTCACGCTGCGGTATTACGTCGCGTCGCATCGCATCGCGGCAAAGTTCCGCGGACGGACGGCTTCACCGTCCCCGCGAGAAGCATGCCTTACGCTCTAACCGTACGTCGTGTTATTTATTGTCGCGTTTCTCCACCACCCGGTGGTGGCGGTGCTGGTACCGCTGGCGGTGGCGGCGGTGGTGATGGTGCGAGCGCGTAGACACAAAGTTGCTGAAGTCAGTAACGGATGACGTCGCTTTACGGTCACCGTTAGATTTCGGTTCCTTGCGTCTGAGGAAGGGACGAGCGAACGGAGAGGGAGAGGAAGAGCGAGGGGGAGAAAGAGAGAGAGAGAGAGAGAGAGAGAGAGAGAGAGAGAGAGAGAGAGAACTCCCTTCCAACGAGGATTTTTTCTCTCCTCGATCCCCGAGTTCCTCGGCCTCAGCCGAGAACGCTCGATGTTCCTCTCTTTCGTTTGCTTTTCCTTTTCTGCCCGAACCACCGCGTTCGCTTCATTATTCCGCGCGAGAGACACGTCGAAGGCCGGATCAGCGCGCTCGTCACGATCGGAAACACTGAAATGTATAATAATAATGACCGCTAGCGGAGCGCACGATCGCCGAAGAATGACGGCGAAATTACTAGGTACTCGGCATTCTCTCTGGCAGTCTCTGGCTGTGGGAAGTTGTCAATTAAACCGGCCACGTGAAAAGTAAGAGCGAGCAAGAGGAAGAGAGGATGCGTCGGGGTTTATCCGGCGACCAGGAATAGATCGGCCACGCTCCACAAGGGAACCGCGTCGATCTTCGGCACCGTCGCCGTCGTCGTTTGCGGTTACTTCTTACGCGCGACAGACGTCGCGGATATACGTAATCCGCATAAAGTTAATTAACGCCGACGACGTGAACGTCCTAATCGCGAGAGCGTTTTTGCCCAACGACGTCGACGACATCGGCGGGGTCCGAGGTCGCGTCGACGAGAGCGACAGAGGAAAAAGAAGAGAGAGAGAGAGAGAGAGAGAGAGAGAGAGAGAGAGAGAGAGAGGCCGCCGTCCAAGCCGATCGGCTGCGGGGTGGCCACCCGCAGCGGAATAGATGAGTCACTTTCGGCCGTGGTTCATCGCGCGCACCGCCGCGCCATTGTGCGCTCCGCACCATGACCGGATGTTCGTCCGTTCCGCAGCAGGTGAACACGAAGGGCAGCCGAAACCATCTCGACGAGGACGCCCTTGATCGCGAGGTCGCACCTCGGGGGAATGGACGATCGTACGAGTCTCCGAGGTTCCGAGCTAGCGATAAAATTGTGGACTTTGGCGAACGCGCAAGCCCCAACAATTCAGCCGCCCGTTAGAAGCTCACCGCTGGACCTCTTCTGGTGGATTAATTCGTAGCTTTTAACTTTCTCTCTCTCTCTCTCTCTCTCTCTCTCTCTCTCTCTCTCTCTTTCTTTCAGTACGTAAGCACGTGGAGTTAACTGAATTAACAAGGCAAGCGAAAGCAAGTGCTGAGCGGCAGTCGACCGGAGAGCCGCTATAATCACGCCGAGTTACCTTGACGAAAAGACACACGATTGATAAATTACGAAGAACTCTGAGAAGAGCAGAATAAAAAAAAGAGACCTCGTCCACCTCGTCACTTC